AACAGCATTGTTGTTAGTTACTCAACTAGTTACAATACATTAAAGCATTTTAAAGAACGGTTGTCGTCGAGCTACCACACAGTAGCCTAGTGGATAGTGAGATGAGCTATGGATACAAAGATCCCTGGTTCGAATCCACGTCGTCACTGCTCATTTTCATCAGCTATTTTTCTTCTCCAAATTTATCACTGAGATAATTTTAAATTAAGGGGAAAATAGATCGAGAACCTAAGTCTTGCAATGATTCAAAGGAAAAACTGAATTATTCATGACATTGCCCCTAACCCTCCTAGGAACAAAAATTACGCGTCCAGGACCAGATGGAATGCACCCTGAAGTGCTAAAGGAGTGTAGCCAAGAACTTTCTCTACCGCTATATTCCGGAAGTCACTGGATGCGGGGAAACTGCCGAAAGAGTGGAAGTCGGCGCGAGTGACAGTAAAAAGGGGTAAAAACGAAGGCTGGTAATTACAGACCTGTGAGCCTTATGTGCATCCCATGCAAGATACTTGAAGCAATCATCAAGAACAGGCTACCGGAACACATCCAAGATTACAGTGCACTTTCTGACAGACAACAACATACGGTAGGCAAATCATGTTTGACAAACCTACTGGAGACCTTAGAAGTGACGGCAACTTTAGACCAGGGAACTGGAGTGCATATAATATTTCTTGACTATGCCAAGGCATTTGATTCGGTTCCACACAAGGGTGTAACTTTAGGCAGAGTACTAGATTGGATACAGGACTTCCTTATGGGGAGAATGCAAACAGTACTAACAGTTTGAAATGCCGCCTCGTCTCAAGCAGATGTACTAAGTGGTGTCCCACAGGGCTCAGTGCTCGGACCGTAACTGTTCATCCTCTACATAAACGACCTACCAACCCATGTCAAGTCAAACATACAGATGTTCCCGGATGATACCAAAATATTTACTGCAGTTGACTCACACTACTAAAATTCAGAAGGATATTGAAGAGTTGCAAAACTGGTCAAAAATCTGGCTACTGAAGTTCAACGCAGGCAAATGCAAAACAATGCATTTTGGTAGCAACAACCCTACAGTGGACTACTACATGGATGGAACCAAATTAGGGCTCATTGATCAAGAGAAGGATTTGGGAGTACTTATACCGGTACCTCACCAATGACTGCAAATCAAGCACACAATGCACAAAAGCAGCACAAGAGGCAATGAACAGCTTAAGAACTACCAAGCGTTCTTTCAAGTACACCAACCAAGACAGTTTTGCTCTACTCTACAGGACATACGTAAGACCACACCTAGAATATTGTGTCCAAGCCTGGAACCCAGGACTAAAGAAAGACATAGCAACGCTTGAAAAAGTTTAGAGAGCACCTCACTTACAGGTACATGTACATGTATCCAGAGAGGCTAGAGAAGTTGAACCTGTATAGTTTAGAAAAGCGTAGAACAAGAGACGGATCTTATTGAAACCTTCAAAATCTTGAATAGGCAAGAGAGAACAGACCAAGACAGATTTTTCAAGCTGGCATCCACAGACACAAGAGGACACAGTCTTAAGTTGTTCAAACCAAGGCTATGCAAAGCACTAAGATGTAGACAGGATTTCTTCTCGGCAGAGAGTGGTTAATGCATGGAACAGTCTCCCACCTAATGTCTTAAACGCCAAGAACTTAAATTCGTTCAAGTCAGAGCTAGACTAGGACAGGCATTAGAAAGATGTGGGGTTTTAACCCTCCTGCTATTTGTGTACATGTATACAGTCACAGAGAGTAAAAATTCACTTTCACTTCCCCTGCTTTACTTAATTAACAACTTTAGGCTAGTCACCAGCAGTCAGATGTCAAGCAAGCACTGTGACTAATCAAACTGGGTCAACAGACAAAGCAGGCAATTTGCTGTTTTATCACTCATCCGGAGTCAGAGCATAGCTGTATCAAGTTAATAAACAGTCCCAGCCAATCAATCCTGCTTGTAGGCTGGGAATTCTTCACTCAGAGGTGTGAAATCTCAGCTTTTAAGCTGATTTCAGCTTTTTGTTTTGTTTTGGCATTTTTGTTGCTTCAAACGAAAAAAAAAAGGCACAAAAGACAAATGATATTATACCCTACCTAAAAGTAAAAGAGCAACAAGCAATGCAATATTATAATGTTCCACGTGGTCATGGGTCATTCCATAAAGTTGGGATGCACATGAAAATTGGCCGTTGATGATTCTGGAATAGGCTTTCTCTGGTCAAGTGTGTCAATACTCGGTGCATGGCGTTCATAGCATATTCTAGCTTTACATTTTATGTTATGTGTTGAATTACAATACTTTTTTTACACATAAGATTTTGTAAAATGTTATGCGCCTATCAAATGTTCCCCCCCCCCCCCCCCCCTGGGGGGGGGGGGGGGGGGGGGACAGGGGGGGGGGGGGGGGACGGGGGGGGGACAATTGATAGGCGCATAAATATTCCACACACCCTACAAAAATGGAGAAGTGGTGCGAGTGACAATCAAAACAAGTAAACGGAGAGAATGTTGCATCCTGATGCCACTTTTTTAATTCGAAGTGGCTATCGTTACGGCAGTCGTTGTTAAGCGCCCTCTACGATACTTTTTTGATACGCAGGCAGGTATATAATTATTTGTTTCCACACATTTTAGCGAGCAGTGCGACAGCTCAGTCGATAGAGGGTAGGATTTTGCACCGCGAGGTTGCGGGTTCGAATCTCAGTTTTGCACTCGATTTTTTTCCTTTTCTAACCTGAGGCTTTAATTGGAGGATTTTTTTAAAAAGGGAAATAAAGTCAGAATTTCATAACTTTTGCAAAAGCAAAAGCGCCACGGCAAGCGCAAAAGCGCCGCGGCAAGCGCAACAGCGCCGCGGCAAGCGCAACAGCGCCACGGCAAGCGCAAAAGCGCCACGGCAAAAGAAAAAGCGCCACGGCAAAAGAAAAAGCGCCGCGGCAAAAGAAAAAGCGCCACGGCAAAAGAAAAAGCGCCACGGCAAAAGAAAAAGCGCCACGGCAAAAGAAAAAGCGCCGCGGCAAGCGCAAAAGCGCCAAGGCAAGCGCAAAAGCGCCACGGTAAGCGCAAAAGCGCCACGGCGAAAGCAAAAGCGCCACGGCGCTTTTGCGCTTGCCGCGGCGCTTTTTGTTTTGCCGTGGCGCTTTTTCTTTTGCCGTGGCGCTTTTTGTTTTGCCGTGGCGCTTTTTCTTTTGCCGCGGCGCTTTTTGTTTTGCCGTGGCGCTTTTGCGCTTGCCGCGGCGCTGTTGCGCTTGCCGCGGCGCTGTTGCGCTTGCCGCGGCGCTTTTGCGCTTGCCGCGGCGCTTTTGCGCTTGCCGTGGCGCTTTTGCTTTTGCCGTGACAGTTGTGGGCCACCGTACTCCATAGACTTTGTACACAACCAAAGAAGCGGCGTCAGGTTGCAACATTCTTTCCTTTCTTTCATTACCTTTTGCAATGCGCCTAGGCCTAGTTCAACATGTTCAAGAACTACTTCTTGAAGAAGTAGGAATCGCATTCGCAAGATGTCATGGCCATGATGATTCCTCCAGTCCATCCATGGTATCACCATCACGAACATTCGTGTGGTTTTCCTTCCTCCATGTCCTTGGTGACGCTCCGACCGCTCAACAGCATGGACGACATGATCGACGAGAGTTTACTTGTGGAACTTCTTCGTGAACTTCAGTCGCAACTGGACCTCAAATTTGCCATCATCACACCTTGCGTTATTTTGGCACGTGCACTTTCGGATTCCAGACTTCATTCCCTTACGATTACACGCGCGGTGCCTAATAAACAGAGCACCCGACTAAATATTGTTTGTTTACGTCACGTTTTTTTATTTTGTCGACCCTGGAGGTTTCCAAATCTCGGCTTCACCTCCGGTTCGGCTTTAGGGGATTTAAGGCCTCCCCCCCCCCCCCGGATTGGGGATAGCAGCTCAACTCTATAGGTCCGCTTTCTGCATCAAGACTATTGACTCTTATTGGCTTTAGAGTCTTTCCATTTCTTGTAGGCATTAAAGCTTCAAAAATTAGTCATGGGCCAGTGACGATCACTGACGAAGCCTAAAAAGAGACGAAGCCACAGTTTGAAAAACATCGGGTCATCAGAGGTCAAAAAGCTCTGCATGCTACTACCGATTTCAACTAGACTTGTTCCCAGTTCGAATAGGAGCGATGCGAAATAACATGGCCGGGGGCTGGGAGGGATGGGGTTGGGGGGGATGGGGGGGGGGGGGGGGGCTGGCCTAAAGTATGAGTAGGGAGGCTGTTTTTAGGCAATTATTTGGTAATTTACCCGGTTACGCTCCAACTATACCATATGGTCCCATCTTCAGGCATACAACTGGGAATTTAGAAGAAAAAAAAGAGAAAATTACAAACCACACAAGACTTTCAATTTGTAATGCATTCATATAAGAAGTAAAAAACGAGGAAACCAGCGGATCCGAGGAAAAGTTGCATGCCAGCATCTTCTGTTAATTGGGATGCGATGCTTCTTCTCCGTGCTCATTCATGGCACATTAAATGGGTGCACATTCATGAACCATGCCAAACGTACACCTCGGTCACAGATGCTGCAAAGTGCCAGAGAAACCAACTTGTATTTAATTACTTATTTGGTATTTGCAGCATGGATGAAACGCCAAATTGACAATTGTTTTTAATACATTTGGCCGAATCCAGGACAACTATAGTTGGGCCAGCCCAACTATAACATGTTAGTTGCATGCAATAGTCCAAACTTTAACATCCGGGAAGTTTTTACATTGGCTTATCTAGCTCTAAGACCTATGTTCTTGAAACTCAATGGTTCTTGAGTCTGGGGTGCTGCATGGTAACACGTAGCAGCTGATGAAAACTTCGTTGCAAATGGATATTTGTTTTCACTGGATGACGTCACTCCGCCCCGATCCATAATGGGGCATAACAGATCCATAGTCAAGAAAGCATACCTTGAACTAAGTGATGATACGTAAAAGAAAATGTGCAACAAACCAAGTGACAAACACAGATAGTACAAATGCCAGCAAAAGCTTTATTGTAATAGTGAGTGAATAATACATGTCCAAAAAAAATTACTTTGTATTTTTTGACAGAAATAAAGATGACAAAAAAAATGTTAAGTGACACAGAGAAAAAGATAAGATCGAAACGGAAAAAAAAACGAAATTGTAGGAGTTCGAATATGACCAAAGCAACACATGAAGGAAATAATAATGTGTATTTATAAAGCGCACATATCCACCAGTATTGGTGCTCAAGGCGCTACATAGTCATTACCCTACTCAGTGGGACAATGAAACATTCCAAATACCATCTCAGCTCCCTGGGGAGTATACACCTCAATGCTGCCATTTCGGCGCAAAGCAGTTAAAACCAACCACAATTTTTAACCATCTCTGCACTCACAGGTACCCATTTACTCCTGGGTGGGGAGAAGCAATGAGTGACAAAGTGTTTTGCCCAAGGGCACACGCACCACAACCCCAGGCTGAACTCAAACCCACAACCTGCAGAATTACCTGCAGACCACAAATTCAATTCTTCCGACCACGAGGCCACGGCACTCCACATTTCATACCCATTACTGCAGTAAGCTGAAACTTTAAATGGCACCCCCCCCAAAAAAATTGTAATTTGGGTGCAAGCCACTTTAATGGTAAAACAAATTTTACCAAAGAAATAGTGCACAATTACAATTTATAGACAAAATCAAAGGCAAGAAAGTTTTTTTTTCAAAAGAAATTTGGATTTTGTTTCCCCAAAAGAAATAAAGATTTTCAGGCGCATGATTGGAGATGTTTCTCTCTGAGAAATACAATTGCATAGTTCCATTTCATTCACCACTAAATGCAACCTTTCCTAACTGCTACATCTATTAAAATTGTCTATTAATTTAAACGCATTTTTCCCTTCTAATTTCTAATTAGTCACAATTCATGGTTTAGGTCAATGACACCCTTTGTTTGTGACTCTAATTTTATGTCTAGCACTGAAACATTGCTTTTCTTTTGAGGCAATTTTATTTGCAAAGCAAATATTTGTTGAGACCTTTTTTCTCCAAGCAATGTATCAGACGGCATATTGGCTGATAAATTTGTTATGTTGTGCCAAAAACTTATGTCAAATAAGACAAGTGGTTCAAAGGTATATAATATATATTGTGACAAAATGTCACTTAAAAGAATTCTTGGTTCTATATTGGACAAGTAGTGAGAACATCGTCTAGTTTACTGGAGATGATCTTCAGTTCTTGCCCACATCTTCCTTGAGGGCAACAGTTCGGTTGAAAACAATCTGTTCGGAAAAAAAACAAAATCAAAGAATACAGTTGAAATGATTAAACAATTTTTAAAGGGTTTTAAAAGCAAAGCTGACTATTAACCAGTTCGCGTCGGAGGACGTGATAACACGCACTGGCCGTTTTTATACACAGGCACGGCTGACGGGTTTAAACGCCAAGATTGCCTCGACTCGCCTCCGGGTGACATCTCAACACGCTAATCCCTCGTGTCTTTTGTACACACACACACACAAAGTCCGTGAAGTCTGTGGAGGTGGACCGTGTGTTGATCTTGAATTGGCCGTTGTGCACGGCCTATTTTTGTACAATTTACGCTCCAGTGTACACCTTGGAGTATTGAAACATAATGAGGTTTCGGTAAGAAATATTGTACAAATACTGTTGAAATCACTGTTGCGAATCAGTATTTGTGGCATTTGGCTGTGTATCAAAAATTGGCTGGAATATTCTGCCTTCTGCAAAAATCGAAATTTTCAGCAAAAATAATCCTGGCGTGGAGTTGTTAAAGACTTTGCTCAACCCCCCCCCCCCAAAAAGAAAAGAAATTAAAGTTACATTATAGTCTGATGCAACTCATGATATCTGTCTATTCCTATCCCAACATGATTGTTTTAACAGGGCCGGATTATCCAATAGGCACAGTAGGCACTGTGCCTAGGGCCTACGAAAATTTATGGGGCCTACGAAAATACCAGTGTGCCATTAAATACACACACCCACACACACATCCAAGAAGATACAATAACAGTTGCAGCATCTCTCTCTGAGTTTTTAGATTTTGGGAAAGCTTCAAACTGGCTAATACATAGCTGGCCATTAACCTCAATACGTGTAATACATTGTAATAACTAGCAGTGAACTCAATACATGTAATACATTGTAATAACGGGTAGCGAACCCAATACATGTAATACATTGTACAGGCTTTTAGAGCTTGGCTAGGCTTGCTTAGTACAGCTCACATGTAGCATCAACATGAAATGCGAGGCTCCAGCACTTACAAGAGCTGTAAAATTGGTGTTGGTGCCTTGGGCGCGAGTAGGGCCTACGGAACACTCTGGTGCCAAGGGCCTTTGGAACAGTTATTCTGGCCCTGTGTTTTAATGACATATATGTACCTTTTCTGGTGTTGAGTCAGGATCAATTGAGAAGTAACCGTTTCTCTCAAACTGAAACTTGTCGTAGACTTTGGCTCCCTTGACCGATTGATCCACGAGGGCGTTGGGTATCACTCTCAGAGAATCCTTACAAATAAAAAACAGTTATAAGCAAATTTATTCCAACAACATAGTATGAAACTGTTGGCTGAATAGATCAGTGATCTTCAAATTGTAACACTGCGCTCTTCTAAAAATGGATTTGTTTTTCTCCTGATAAATTTTAAATTTGTATGCTTTGTTTTAACGAAAAAAATATACTTCATTATAGATTTGGGGGGTCTGCAACTCTCTGAAAAAGGGCTTTCATTTATTGTCCGGCAGCTAACAATTTGAATTTTGTGAAGAAATAATTCAATAAATAAAATATCAAAGGTACGATGAGTTTCGTGAAATCAGGTACTTGTTTTCTACATCTACACAAGCCTTGTTCCTCACCTGATTACAATCGGTCACAAAACCTCCAGGCACTTCAGATGGGTCCTCTGGGTTTTTGTGTTTGAACCTTTGACAGATGGATTGATTAGAAAATATCACAGAATTCTGCTCATAAAGTTTGTTCAAAACTTAGTTCTGCTAATGATAACTCAACACAGTGCATCAAGTGTAAACGTCTGTGGGACCTTGCTGCATGGAGCCATCAACACCAGTGCATAAACGGCCAATTCTGAAACAATGAGAGCTAGTCTCATTAAACAACGCCAGAGCTGTATCCTGCTGCAGTTGGTGACCACAGACTCTGAGGCAGTTTAGCCTTAAGATTTTGGACCTGATGGATCTGGTTACACTGAGCAGGCTTGTCATTTAGACAAACGTTGCATGTTGCTGCATTTTGGCATGGTTTCTAGCCAGAGTACCCTGGAGGGTTAGGGACAATGAAATGAAACGACTCACATGACAACTCAGTGGCCGAACTAAGGGAAGCAGAATTGGGAGATTTCATTTCCGTGGGGAACACTCAATGGGTTTTTAACAATCGTCAGCTCATTTTTGCCTTCCCCTAAATTGGTTGGGGGGGGGGGGGGGGGGAGGCCTAAAATGAGGACATTAGGGGTGTGCCCTTATTCCCCCTTTGTTACACCACCCACGTGACGGGCTTAATACCACCAATGTGACGGGTTAACTTGCTTGATGATGCCCCTCTTCATTGCATCTGATGAAGTAGTTGTAGCCACAAAAGCTCGTGCACATTTTATTCTAGTTTCATTTAAGTGCTACCTGACTTTTATTTGATATTTTTGTGACTAACACCGCTGCCCACCACTTTCTGTTAAGCCACTGACAGTTTTTCAGATAGAGCCCAAATATATTAAAATAAAAAAAACCTCTTGAACTTACAGTCTGCCATAGATTCTGACTTCGCATTCCACAGGTTCCGACACCCAGTGAATAAAACCCTTGGGTTTGGAGGTAGTATCCACGGACTGGGCTGTCACCTTCAGCTCCTTCACCTGACCGGATTCGTCTTTGACTATGGACTGCACTGTCAGGACTTGAGCCGCGTACTTCAGGCCTACCGGCTGGGATGGGGTTAACCGCCGATATCCCTTCTCAGGATTCTGATTACAAAAAAATTACAAAGATATTATTTGAGTTGACAAAGAATCAAACTTTAAAACTTTAAAAATCAATTGAGATGACACAGAGTTGTTAAGGATTTTTTCCAGGAAAACGTTTGTGATTATTAACCCTCCCATGCAAACATGCAAACATAGATTCTGCGCCAGGTTGTCCTTGCAGTCAAAATAAATCAGGTGACTGTTTTCAACAGTTAAGAATTCCCAGCCTACATAAAGCAGGATTGACTGGCTGTGACTGTTTATGTAACTTGATACAGCTTTGCTTTGACTGTGGGTGATTGATAAGCCAGCTGTGTCTACCACTTGCCTGCTTTATCTGTTCATGGTCTGTTGACTGAATTTGACTAGTCACAGTGCTTGCTTAACATACCGGTATGATCTGACTGTATATAGTGACTACCCTTGGTTAAAAGGGCAGCACAGGAACTGGATGGAAATTTTGACTGCCTGTGACTGTTTAAATAGCAGGACTGTTCAGTAATAACAAACAGATACAAAAATGGCTTTTAAATTTAAGCAATGTCTTTATCATTTATTCATGAATACTCATTGCTATTGGTTGAGAGCCCATCACGTGGGTGGTATTAAACCGCTGATAGAACGCCGGCAGGAATTCTTTAAAACTTGCAAGCAACAAACATGGCCCCTGAACCAGGACAATAAATTTCTGCTTTCTAAATAGAATCTTAAAACTTTGTAGGTTTGGAAGTTCGAAAAAACAGTTAAATGTTTGATAAAGCAAAATTACCGGCGACCAGGCCCCTACCCTGTCTTAAACCAGACTTTTAAAACTGCTCCCTCTCACTAGTATTCCCTTAATATTTGACACAATTTACCTCACTGAAGTCACTCTGCTCAATGTAGATGACGGACGTGAAGGGCATCTTGCGTGTTCCCTTGCTGCTGTCATGAGGAATCACAGGAACGCTCAGCTCCTCAAGCTGTCACAGACAAGAACAAAAACTACATCACAAAATTACACAGATTTTGGATTCGTGCATGTAGGCATAAGCTAAGCTGGTGGGAGCCTATATTCCATTGTTGCACAACCCAACAAATTGAGTTGGAAGTCATCAGGGCTTTGAGTGATTGGCCATTTTACAGTTCTTGCAAAATGGAAATCAATAGGCGCAATTAACAATATTACTTGCATTACATCTTGATATGATACGATTGAGTGATGAATAAGGGAATAAATATGTTCTTGTCCGGTTTTAAACAAGTATGATTTCAAACCGGCTTGGCGCCTGGATGCAAATAATGGCTGGAGCTGAAGGCGAGGCACATTATCAGCGACAAGGCCCCAATCTGGTTTTAAACGTACTTGTATAATACCGGCCAAGCACCTTGTTATTCCCATTCAAAAGTACCTCTTGGTCAAAAAGTCAAAACAAGTCAAAAATTATATATTTCCAATGATTTTGTTCAACAAGTTTACTTGATGTTTTTTTAAGCACCCCTCTAGTTATGTTTATGGTATGTGCCTCTTGTGGGTAGCACTAAAAAATCTCCTTACATGGAGATTGGCGTGCAAGCGGCACACACTATGCGATGTGGCGCAGAACACAGCAGTGCCCGTGAAGTGTGCATTTAGGACTCTATGAAATACAGACTCATTGGCAGTATTTGCGCATGCCAAGTAAAGATTGTGAACGTTCAACCAATAAAAGGGTAAAAGGGACCAGATTTCATAAGAGTCCAAATTTCATGGCACTGAGAAAGTGTTTAAGACCAGCCAGTTGGTGTTTTATCAACATATACCTATGCAGTAGATAGATAGGGTTATCATTTCAAATAAATAACCGAGTGCTCTGAGCTTACATGTTTTAACAATTAAAGTCATGATAATCATCTGAGAAAATTCAATGACTGTTTGCTGAATATCAATGACACCTTGACATGTCTGCAGAGGATATATACATAAAACAGTCACCCATGACTTTACCAAAATCCTGTGCAGAATACACTCATAGCTAGAATTGATTGCAGCCCTGCAAAGTATCTTGGTTATTGGTTGGTTCTACTCCTAACGACTCCGCAGGGGAGTAATAACAGGAGGCCAGAGACACCGGGGCAAACCCCTTCTCTTAGTGATAAGTGTTACTGGGTTCTTTTACGTGCATTGCATTTAACACACAGGACCTACGGCTTTACATCCCATCCGAAGGACGAAGCAATAATGGTCAAGTGCCTTGCTCAAGGGCACAAGTGTCCACCCGGCGGGCTCGAACCCACGCCACTGTTGCCTCTGAAACACCAGAGCAGGGGAGTAATAACAGGAGGCTCTTAACCGCTAGGCCATGACACTGTACGGATCCTAAGTAAATTTACAATGAGTTTTGTGAATCAACTCCAGGGTTATCTTGGGAGTAACCATACCTTTCGTTCGGGCAGGATAGTGACCTTGAGGGGTTCCAGCACAGCCATCGCCCTGGGGGCCGTGTTGTTGAGGTAATCCCTGACGCAGGAGTCCAGCAGAGAAGGGTCAAAGGTCACCCGTGACATCGTCACTCCAATCTAATAAAACAAAAATTGTGTGGTTTCTTCATTAACCAGTTCATGCCGGGTTCATTTTGACAAGAACGGAAACAAGGCGTGGGTTTAATATTCACTCGACCGCAATGCCAGGCGGGTTTGATACAGCTTTGCTTCGACTGTGGGTGATTGATAAAGCCAGCTGTGTCTATCACTTGCCTGCATGGTCATTTTATGACCACGGCATGGCATTTGGTCAAGTAGTCAATTATTTTTGGTCCATTTTCAGGGGACAGAAAACAGACAGACATACCGACAGACCGACCACCAAGTGACATGTAGAAACTCCTGTCAGAGCTTTAAAATCTGTATCATCGCTATCACCATTATAGTATAACGTGGAAAAGGTGTGTACGTGTTCATCTTTTCAAACCGTGGACGAAAAATACCAGAGAACAAAAGAGAACAATATCGTCCACGATTCCCAGCATACGTCCACGATTGGGGTCGTGTACAAAACCTATGGGAGTCTTCCTAAAAATTTAGAGTACAAACAAAAGAGGGACAATAGGACGTCCACAATCGACGGTGAACACATGTTTGCGTGTGTGTGTGCGTGTGTAAACACCGGCAATCGTGGACTAGGGACAAAAGGGTTAGGGCACAAACAAAGGGTCCACGATTGACCGAATGCCACGATCTCAAACAAAGTACAAACAAAGGAATGAGGATTAGAGACAATGGGGCGTCCACGATTACACGCGTGTGTGTGTGTGGGTTTGTCTTACAGTCACTATGTGGACTTGTGAACAAAAGATGTCCACATAATGCAGGTTGTGTTGACGTTATGTGGACTAAGCCATGTCCACATAATGTTTTGCCCTCTCTGGAAAACAGGTTCAGAGGCATTTTTTGGGTCAGGTTTATGTGTGGCAAAATGAAGAGAAACACTAAAGGGGATCATAGAAAAAAAATTGGGTTGAAAGAGTTTTCATAGTTTAAGTAAACTTATTTTTTTGTACCGAGTTAATAACTACACGAAAACAAAGGAATGTCCACACAGCGTATGTAAAACAAACATGTGTGTGAGTGTATGCGTGCGTTCAGGAATTAAACGCATGTAAGGCAGGCGAGGCGAAGCCTGGTTCATTACGATCGCCTGGTTCAAAATAAATTCCATGGATACCTTGGCGCAGAAGTTATTGATAGCTTCAGCTGGGAAACCTCTCCGTCGCAGCGCAGTCAGGGTGTACAGTCTGGGGTCATCCCAGTCTCTATGGAAACAAGGTCAAGATTTACATATTTGTTTACTTTCATGGTTTAATTAGAAGACCTTATTCTTTGTTTATTAGAGCATTAATTTCTTCAATTGTCTTACACTGAAAATCATCAATTTTTTGTTAATTCAACTTTAATGACATATTTTGAACAACTCAAAGTTTACAAACTCAAAAATTACGTAAAACAACTACACGCTGCATATTAAAAAAAAAAATAATAAAAAAAAAATAAGTAAACCTCAGAACTAATTTTATGGCCAATGTAGAAAATTAAGCCCTCAGTGGCATGATCTATGTGGTAGATATTCTCACCTGACGATACCGTGTTCAATGAGTTTCCCGATCTTCCGCTTCGATACCACAGTGTAGTTCATGTTAAGTCGTCCATACTCCCACTGCACAGGGCAATATTGATCCAGTGCATTGCACAGCCAGTAATATGACTGGCGCCTGGTTCAAGGAGGAAAATATCAACTGGTTAATATACTCCTACTGCACAGGGCAATATTGATCCAGTGCATTGCACAGCCAGTAATATGACTGGCGCCTGGTTCAAGGAGGAACATATTAACAGGTTTAATAATATACTCCTACTGCACAGGGCAATAGATATCCAGATCATTGCACAGCTAGTAATATGACTGGTGCCTGGTTCAAGGAGGAAAATATAAACCGGTTAATATACTCCTACTGCACAGGGCAATAGAGATCCAGTGCATTGCACAGCCAGTAATATGACTGGTGCCTGGTTCAAGGAGGAAAATATAAACCGGTTAATATACTCCTACTGCACAGGGCAATATTGATCCAGTGCATTGCACAGCTAGAAATATGACTGGCGCCTGGTTCAAGGAGGAAAATATAAACCGGTTAATATACTCCTACTGCACAGGGCAATAGAGATCCAGTGAATTGCACAGCTAGTAATATGACTGGCGCCTGGTTCAAGGAGGAAAATATAAACCGGTTAATATACTCCTTCTGCACAGGGCAATAGAGATCAAGTGCATTGCACAGCCAGTAATATGACTGGCACCTCGGTTAAGGAGGAAAATATAAACCGGTTAATATACTCCTACTGCACAGGGCAATAGAGATCCAGTGCATTGCACAGCTAGTAATATGACTGGCGCCTGGTTCAAGGAGGAAAATATAAACTGGTTAATATACTCCTACTGCACAGGGCAATATTGATCCAGTGCATTGCACAGCTAGTAATATGACTGGCGCCTGGTTCAAGGAGGAAAATATAAACCGGTTAATATACTCCTACTGCACAGGGCAATAGAGATCCAGTGCATTGCACAGCTAGTAATATGACTGGCGCCTGGTTCAAGGAGGAAAATATAAACCGGTTAATATACTCCTACTGCACAGGGCAATAGAGATCAAGTGCATTGCACAGCCAGTAATATGACTGGCACCTCGGTTAAGGAGGAAAATATAAACCAGTTAATATACTCCTACTGCACAGGGCAATAGAGATCCAGTGCATTGCACAGCTAGTAATATGACTGGCGCCTGGTTCAAGGAGGAAAATATAAACCGGTTAATATACTCCTACTGCACAGGGCAATAGAGATCAAGTGCATTGCACAGCCAGTAATATGACTGGCACCTCGGTTAAGGAGGAAAATATAAACCGGTTAATATACTCCTACTGCACAGGGCAATAGAAATCAAGTGCATTGCACAGCTAGTAATATGACTGGCGCCTGGTTCAAGGAGGAAAATATAAACTGGTTAATATACTCCTACTGCACAGGGCAATAGATACTGAGTGCATTGAACAGATAGTAATATGACTGGCGCCTGGCTCAAGAGGGAAATATAGAGCATTAAAATACACTCCTACTTTACAGGATAATAGAGATGTCCGTCCCTTAGTGAAAACGGAAATATCACTTATTCTACATAAATTATGCCTTTGTGTTCAATGCATTTTGTGCAATGCATGGTAGCATCTCTTCTTGAAAACGCAAAATCCAATTATGGAGATGTCAGCCGCTTATATTATTATTAACAAACTACCGGTACGCAAATGTTGCTTCTTCTTAAAGCCAGTCCGAATGGTCGAGTGCGAAAAAAATTGAAACTGAAAAATATATGTCACTTTTGACATGCCCATCCCTTCAAGAAAATGGCGACGATTTGAGTGGCACCTGGTTCAAGGGGAATATATAAACCAATTAATGTAAGCCTACTGCACAGGTCAAAAGAGAACTACTGCATTACACAGCTAGTAAGGGTGAAATAATCCATTAATATACTCATACTTCCGAGGGCAGTAAAAATATAATGCATTCCACAGCCAGTCATCCACTAGTGCCTGATTTAAGAGTAAATATAAACCAGCAGGTATACACATTCGGAGTCAAATTCATTAGAATATTGCTCATGTCTGTGATCAGAAGGAAAGTTTTGACATTGTTTGTATGTGACATCACTTACCTGGATTGGAATTCCTTAGTGCACAGGGAGTGTGTGATATGTTCCAGTGAGTCACACAGGCAGTGAGTGTAGTCATAGGTTGGATAGATACACCTGGATAAACATAAGGCAAACAGAAAGGTATAAATTAATTTACAAAAGACGGCTACCTACAAGGTTCTTCCTTGGTTGAGTGATGAGGATCACAAGACACTACCATGTAACCCTGGTCCGGTGATAAGATCAAGAGATTATGTGTTTATACTGCAGGGCGGATCTAGCTTTCAGGAACTTGGAGGGGGGGGGAGAGATGTTTCAAGGATGGCGCCTTGTTTCAAGAATTTTATTTATTATTGTTTTGCTCCATTTACATGTATCACACCATTAGTTGGCGGCTAAAACTGTGCGGGGGGGGGGGGGGGGGGGGGAAGTTGCAAGGTCCACCCCAATCCACCACTGGACTGAAAGTGAAGCAAGTGAAGAAATTTGTTATGTCATGAGGATCAACAAACAATTTAAAAAAACAAACGATTTACAGAAACAAACAATTTAACCCCAAGTACTGTGATAAACTGAGATCAAGATTACCTGTGTTTAGACTAACAGATAAGTTATACCATTTTTTTACCGTAGGACCTGTGGTAAGGGTCAAGATACTCAGTGTTCACACCGACACCAGCTAAAGATTAACCATGGGTCCTGTGATAACAATCCAGAGATTCTGTGTTCAGACTGACAGAAACGACTCACCCTGGCTGCTGTGATGACAGTCAAGATACTTAATGCTCATACTGACAGCAACTAATGATTTATCCTGGGTCAACTAGTGTCCAGACTGGCACAACTAAAAATTTACCCTGGGTTCTGTGATAAAGATCCAGAGAATCTGTGTTCAGATTGACAGAGACTAACCATTTAACCAGGGTCCTGTGATAACTATCAAGATTCCCTGTGTTCAGACTGACAGTTAACCTACCATTTATCCTTGGACCTGTGATGAGGGGTAAACTTGATCCGATAAGCCACCGGGTCTTTCTTCCCCTCTGCCAGGGTGTGTTTCATGCGAAGGACGGCATCGCCTTCGGCTATCTTACCCCGTCTCATGTCCTACACAGGGGGAAAAAAAGAGGCAATTAACCCTCTAGTCTTCTGCACTTCACAACCCTTCAAAATTTTACATAACCACTTTTGTAAGTGGTTGTCTACGAAATTGTGGCAGTACTGACCTTGTCAGTACATTTTTAACAATTTTATAATTACTCCATCATTTTCCTGACAAAAAGTTTCATTCTCCTGCAGTTCCCTATTGAGACATACCGGTAGTTAAAAAGCATCTTGAGTGCTGGTTGAACTTTTGACCCAGAATTTTGGAGGCAAAAACCAGACCCAGGCCAACTCCCTGCTGTTATCACAATGCCACCAATCATCCCGTCATTAGGCCTAAAAACAGGGGAAGCCCGAAAACAGGTGGTCCTCATCTGTTTTAGCTATGTAACCTCAGGCTGTTGTAGTGGGGGGTGGGGGGGGGGGTGTCGAACAATCAGACAAATACATATACCGGCTCCTTTTTAGACTTTTTCAGGGACTTTGAGCAGTGCCAAAAATGTGGATTTGGGTAACATATTTTGTGTCTAGGGTACAGAGGGCCTGTACTGATCAATCTACACACCTTGAGAAGGGGATGTTTTCACCAAAACACCTACTGAAGGAATTGTGTTCATACTTCATACTGAAATGTTCAGTACTGTGGTGGATCACATCTAAAATAAAACGATGGCGCCTCGCAGGGTTAAAATAACATCGTGGACACTTTTCATCATCTCCTCGAGACCGTTCACATTTTTTTTTTAATATTAGAACTGGAAAAAATGCTATTCGGGTGGATGATCAAATTGCCTTTTTCTTCCCCAAAAACTCGGGTTCTGTGTGTTTTAAGAATAATTGGACATTTTATTTTTGTCCAAATCCTCAGGTTCCTAACCCATAATCAAATGCCCAAGTGCAAAGATCCCGCAGTCTAGAAGTCCAGGTTGAATGAAATACTTCAACACATTATATGTCATTCTATTTGTCGTACTTGGAAGAGGACTTGAGTAAAACCAGGGAAGAAGTTGAGTCCATCGCAAGTCCCTGCAAGTCCCCGCAAGTCCCCGCAAGTCCATCACAAGTCCTCCAGTCCCAATTCAAATCACAAGCTATTCAAACGAGCTTTGACAAAGACATTTCTTTGATGTTGTTCATCTACTGTTACTAATTGTAGTTTACTTGTTACCGGACTTGCGATGGACTTGTGATGGTCTCGAATACATCCCTGATTTCAACACTGATACCATCCTCAATTTTAACCTGCTCCAGACTTTGAGCAATAACAAAAATGCTAGTTGTATCTCTTTCACTTGGATGCTTACATCAAACAGCTTGAGAGATTCCTCGATGGGTCGGTCCCTCCACGGCGAGTCTGGGTTGTTGTAACCTTTGATCTCCTCAGGTCGCATGTGACATATGTAGGCCAAGTCCCTGGAGAAAAGAGAGAGTTATCTTGTCTGTAAGAGGCAAGGCTCAGGTAAACTAGAACTACTACTACTCTTGCAAAAGACCGTCAGAGGGGTGAAGTGACCTCCAACCTCCGTGATCAGACGCGAGGGACAACAATTGCTTTGAGACAACTGAACAGTATCAGCTACCTGCTTTAGCCAGGTAAGCCGGGGATGATCATGGGGTCTGTAAAAATTCACGGGCGTCAATCCTAGGGGAGACAGGGGGACATGTTCCCCCACTTTTTGAAGGGTGGGGGACACAATATCAAATGTCCCCCCCCCCATTTTTGAACTCGTGTCTCATTTACAGGGCCCTGTTATGTACTACAATGTATCTTTTGCTAAGAAAATATAAGTTAAAGTGGTCAGAAATTGCCTCAGATCGCACCAGAGAGCATTTAGAATCCAAAACTTTTCGGGGCCCTTAAGCAGGCCCCGAACCCTATGCCTTTAGCTGAGAAAAGCTCAAAAATTTGGTTTAAATTATTATCTTTTGCTAAGAAAATTATTGGTTAAAGTGGTCAGAAATTGCCTCAGATTGCACCACAGAGCATTTAGAATCCAAAATTTTTCAGGGCCCACTTATCAATTTTTTTCGGGGCCCTTAAGCAGGCTCCGAACCACACGCCCATAGCTCAGAATACCGGTAGCTGATTCAATGACTCCAACCTCGAAAACGATTTTCAAATAATTATCTTTTGCTAAGAAAATATTAGTTAAAGCATGGAGGAAAGTGGTAATACTTTGCCTCAGATCACACCACAGAGCATCTAGAATCCAATTTTTTTCAAACCCCACGCCGTAAGGGCTTCGCGCTCGCATCGGTTCTGATCAAGGTATATGTCCCCCCCCCCTCCACTTTTGGGAAGCTATTGACGCCCCTGTGTAAAATAAATAATTGCACCATCATTTGTTGATCCTACCTGCGTATAAGGTCCACCGCTAAGTCGTAGAGTTCCTGGAAGTAATCAGACGCGTGGGTGACCTGGTAAGGCTCGTAGCCCAGCCACCGCACCATGTCCAGGATCGCCGTGAAGAACTTCTCCTCTTCCTTCTCAGGGTTGGTGTCATCGTAGCGCAAGAAGGTGATACCGCCGTGGGCCTGTACTCGGCAAATGTGACACAATCCCACAAAATGGGTCTTGAATACGTTTTTCATATGCAGAAGAAAGTGTATACTTTGCTCTTCATTTTGTATATGTCGCTCAGTTTAACACGACAGACCTTCCGCATCTGTCGACACAACCGAAGGCCGGTTATTGTTCCTCTGTGATACACGTGAGTACTTCCATTGTTAGTAAATTTAAGGGCATATACATCATTTGCTTTTGCTGTAATTTTCAGAAATGGATGGAATTGGGGGGTTGGAAATATATAGCAAATATAGTTACACTGACTTTTTTGAGGTTTGGGGTTTAAAAATGCTATAAAAACCAAGAAAAACAATCATTTTGGTGTAGTCTGGTTCCCTGACTCCATTTAAGAAGAAACAGAGCATTTTACATACATTGGGGAATTGTAAGGTAAGGGAACCAGTCTAGCTGGCTTGTACCCGTTCAAAGGTGTGTAATCGATTGCAAACAAGTGCGATGGTCAATTGGGGCCAGTGTTTGGAAAAAAAGCCAGTTGTTTCCAACGCTGATCGGCCGATCAGCGTGGGAAATTGATACAAAATACCACTTTTCTTGAAAATGACAGTATACCAGGTGCCATGATTTTACAGGATGCTTTACACTGTCATTCACTAACAGTCCAGCAAGGTATTTCAAAATGATTTGGTAGTTTTATTTTTTGATGTTTGGAAATGTTGTATTTTCCCTTTAAATAACAAAACCAGAGATTTTGGGAACCGCTTTCACACTCGGTAGCATCCAACACAGCTTCCACATGGGTCCAACGTTCTGCATAAGCAAAATCTAACTCTGCACGGGACCAGGATTGAGAGGCTCTACCCGGGTAGAAAATCCATAATCTACAGGTGACCAGTGTACACACTGGCGTAAGTGTGAACAATGTGCCTTGCCTGACTGTGTTCAATAAGCCATTTGCGAGTGACCTATACCCTTTGGGATTAAAATTCGAAAACGTCTGGTACACTGACTTGCTCAGGATGCTTGGCACATTGTAACTGTGAATTCTCCAGACTAAAGACACTGTTGCTAATCACCTGATTCGGGGCAAGCTCTTGCATAGTTACGTAAGAGACGCTCAGTACCAATACATTGTTCACAATGGGTGAGAATGGCACAAAGAAACCAGACCATGCCAGAGCTGGGGGTTGCTAGCATAAGGCTTGCCCCGAATCACGTGATATAGTAACAGTCTCTTTGGTCGGGAGAATGCAAAGTAAACACGTGCAAAGCATTGGATAAAGTCAGCGTTCCAGATTTTATTCAAATTTAACTCGCAAATGGCTTATTGGACCCGGTTTGGCTTAGGGTGGGCCCCTGTTGATTTCAACACGGATAGAGAAAGGCCTTAAATGTGTCACGAAAGAGGAACTCACCCTTGCATAGCCAAAGTTAAAGTTGATGGCCTTAGCATGACCAATGTGTAGAATGCCATTGGGTTCGGGAGGGAAACGTGATCGTACCTATAATAGAAACAAAATGTAATGGGGAAAAAAAACAATCAGCCAATGACAAACTGGAGGCACAGAATGTTGGCTTTCCTGACAAATCTTACTTTAACCCCAACTCCCTAGCATGATTTACTAGGAACCATACCTATTCGGGCAAATTCCAACATAAAACACCCTATGGGAAACTGCACACACATATTTCTGACTTTGATTCTGGAGGTGTGCCAACCCCATGTAAAACAATGTCAGTTTAGGGGTACTGTTGGATCCTCACAGATTCCAACAAAGCATGCCCATGGGGTTTGATGGGTTGAGTTCTGTTAGGGTTTTAAAAAAAATCAAATCACACCAATTGATATCTATCCAATGCTCAATCAAAAACAAACACCAGGAAAATTTCAAGAAATGGAACATAAAGCATACTTTTATTTTTATTTGACAATAAGCTGATTTAAAAAAAAACTTCAAAAGCTGTTCTACTCTTTGAAATTGACCAAGTTTTGGAGCAATCTGAAGGACTAAGGGCCCATCTCAAGTTTACATGTGCACTTTCCTATGGAGCCAGTGGGGGCCCACAGTCCACTGAGCACCACGTAAGCACACACGTAACCAAAGTGTGACGTCATCAGGACGGAGGCCAATTCATATCCAGGACGACTTCCGGACAAGTAGCTGACATTGTATCGGGTATAAGTTGCAGGATTCTGAACAATTTCCCCTGCAATCTTCCCACAATGAAGTTATCAGTATTGGCGAGTCAAGCAGTTGCTGATGAAAATTTCCTCAGAACACATCCGGGACAAATGCAGAGCTTCTTCTCAACAAAGTGAATGATTCTACCTGCAACTTGTCCAGAACTCGTCCTGGAAATGAATTGAGACGGGCCCTAAGGAAGAAAGGTTCCGAGGAAATATGGCCAGGAAGTCAGTGTCAGTGTCACACATAAAACTGTGAAAGTTTCTTTAACCCTCTTACTGTTTGAACAGGCACAGACAATCAAAAAAATCAATCCTCTTCCCCTGCCATTCCTTTTACACAGGCTAGTCACCAACAGTCAGATCATATTTCAAGCAAGCACTGTGACCAGTCAAATTCGGTCAACAGACAAAAGCAGGCAACAAGTAGGCACACCTGGCTTGTTAATCACCTACAGTCAAAGCATAGCTGTATCAAGTTACATAAACAGTCACAGTCAGTCAATCCTGCTTCATGTAGGCTGGGGATTCTTAACTGTTGAAAACATTCACTTGATTGGTTTTGTCCGAAAGGACAACTTGTATGTTTGCATAGGAAGATTAAAACATTAAAACAGACTTTAAACACATACCTGACCACCGGTGAGCTCCAGATGTTGCTTCAGTATCTCCATGGTTTTAGGCGTGACGACGTAACCATCAGTTTTGTAGTTCTCCCCTATCATATGAAACACGCACACATACACTCTCTATTAACGAGCTGACTGCTGACTACGAATATATTCGTAGTGACAGTCCTACCAGATTTTGCCACTACGAGTATATTCATAGTGAAGTAAAGGCTTTTGTGTTGTCAACCGAATGTACTGGGCATCGCTGAAAACACAACAAATTAGCTGCTGGCAGTTTGAGAACAAAAATCTATCGACTGGTTATGTTCTAATTATCAATTATTGTTTTTTATCAAAGTGCCACATAAATATGCGCATATACGTACATCGATCTTGTGGCAAAGGGGGCGCCCTGTAAAAGTTTCAAGGCAGGCTTCATGTTACAGTTCAATTATTTGAAACTCACAGCAACATACACGTACACTTCATTGAACAGTCCCTGGTACATCAGCCACAACAATAAACCGAGTGTAAAATGATTGCATGTCAGTTTTTCAGTGGCACGACCATCATACGACTGACTACAAACTGGGCCTTATACCTTTCAGATGAAGAGGGCCCATGTGTACCTGGTTTGTGGAATTTCACCGCCTCCCCCATGAGCTGGTTGATGTTTTCAGCCCCGCCCTCAGCGGGGGATTCCAACTCCTTCTCAGGCTCCGATTTCTTCTGTTCCTCCTTTGTCTTGCCTTTTCCCTTCGACTCCTAAAAAGAAAATTATCATCACATACTTTTGAACTCAAACAATGTTACAAATATTCAATAGGCCTGAGACCTAATGACGTCACGCTTTGTTTACATGTGCGCTTGCCTGTGTGGTAGACGGTCCCTACTTCGTCTGACATCCTGACTTCACTCCCATAGAAAAGCGCATATGTAAAAAAAGCCATTACGTCATTAGGTCTTAGGTCTGTTCCCCCTCTGAGTACAAATTTGTTTGCATCCTTTGGTTCATTCTTGATTCTTCTTTATGGTGATAAGAAAACTCTCAAGAACTTCTGAAAGTTAAAATCATGTCAATATAGAATATTATTTTAATACCATTTTGTTTGAATGAGTAAAAATTTGCAAATATGTATTAAACATTATTGTTATAACGTGTGCTTGGACACTGTAATTTATTGGTTGAGAACAGCCACGTGTCCAGTCCGTAAAACACATATACAATGGCTAACCTTATATACAATACGCGTTGCACGCGCGTATAACCTGCACACTTGGTGTAGAACCTGCATACGCGCACTCGCGACTGAGAACTGCATGTAATGCATGCGAAACTGCTCAGTCTCATGTCCCAGCCGGAAAGCATGCAGGTACCAAGCGTACCACCGCACTGATTTTATTTATTTCTTGCGTAATATAGTTTCAACTATTTATTGTTTTGACTTATTGGCACGATACAACAAAACAATTGTTGAGTGCTGTGATGTGAAATATGCGGGGTTTTTACCCCTCCTCAGGGGGCACAGTACCCTTGGCTTCGCCTTGCGTGCTATGCCCCCTCTCGTGCCTTAAAAACAGCATATCCCAACAATTGTTAAATGCCTCTTCTTACATCCCAAATTTCAAAACAATCTGCCATTGCATTTTTGACCCCAAAAAAGGCTCTTTTAGTGTTAAAATGAACCTTATCATTTGCTCTTTGTGGTTTATTTGTATACTACCTTTGCCTTTGTTGGTTTCTCCCTGTCAGCGTCCGTCTTAGGACCCAGTAAATCCAGGACCTGCATGTCTACTTCACTCTTAATGGCCTTCCCATCCGCCCACTTCAGGCTCTGACGAACTTCCCCTAAAAGACAAAGACAAAGTCAATTGTGACTACGTGTATTTTCTACATGATACAAACAGACACATGTATGACCAGAAAACAGAAAAAACTTTTCCAGTGTGTAAAGAGCAAGATACCATACCTAAGCAATTGTTTCTGTTTATGTTACAAGGGCTGTAGTTAAGCCTGTTTCAAATAAATCACAAGTCAATCACAGACTAATCACAAGTCAAATCACAAGTCAAATCACAAGGCAGGTTGCAAGCAGCAGGTGATGTTTGATGACTACATGTAAGGAGTGATTTTGTCAAAATACAGTTTATTAACGCTAACCTTCCCAAATCCTCCAAAATGTTCTTTGCAAAATGAAGGCATGCAACTGGGAAATCACAAAAAAAAGTTAATTCAAATTTTTCCCAGACTTTGTACAGTGTATTTCTATTTTCAATGGCACACATGGGAAGTAAAAAAAGAGGAAATCAGCTGATCCGAGGAAAAGTTGCATGCCTGAAAATGGATTTCAAAGGATTGAGGCTGTATGGCAAAAGTGTGGAGCTGATTTTGGCGGATGCACTGTGTCAAGGTCTTAGGCCGGACCTTGTGTTGTTTATTCTCAGCCTTGCATAAAATAGGCCTAGATTATACTTGAAATCCTCCAGGATGTCAATGGCTCTGACAGTGATTGCCGGAGGATTTTGCAGGAGTGAGGCAGTGGTCACCCCTCCAAGGACCACATTCAAGAAAAAAACCAGATGATTTTGGAGGATTGAGGCTGTATGCAATTTTTGTATAGAGGCAGTTGGAGGATTTTGCAGGATTGAGGTTGCATCTTAGCAACCTAGCAATGCCTAGTAATCTTAGCAATGCCCAGGGAGTTAGGGTTAAGCAGCTTCTGACTTTAGCGCAGCCTCAGGTCGACCTGTTATTTGCTTGCGCCGCGTTGGAACCATCGGCATCGAGCAGAACAGTAATGCTCAGGTCACAAAAACTGAGAAATCGTGAGATTTTCGTAGAACAAGCTGTATCTCAACACAAAATTATCGCAACCATGCTCACGTTCCTCATCACGCGACGACGATTGCATGTGGCACCTCACTCTTCTTTTGTTGCTGGCGTGACTGTCAGCTGATGGGAACCTCCGATGAAATCGGATAACAGTAAATCGGTTTGAAAACAATTTGGATAACAGGATTTTGAAATCTCTGATTTCTCCAACCACTACTTTTTTGCCTGAGTTGGCTTACCCATGATGCTGCCCATGTTGTAGTGATATCTCTTCTCCAGCAATCCTGCACTGTGCTTTTTGATCACAACTTCCACCTGCAAAAATCAATCAATTATAAACATGGAATATCTCAGTGTAACATACATGTGGAATAGTGCTGGGTTTTACGCAAGTTTCAATTACTGGGCTTGCTTATGGGCTCCGTGCGCCAACAAGAGAGGGCGGTTTTTCACCACTTTTGAGAGCGCCGAGGATGGGACACACTACATGTGCATACTGGTTCCTGCGCGTACAATGTGTTCGAATGTCTCTCCTGATTATCTCCTTCAACTCTCCTTCAACTGGCCGGTGAGGGCACACATACATACACAGCTACATGTACGTTGAAGAGTTGCAATCAAATCCATCACAAGTCAATGACAATTCAAGTCATAAGTGAGATCAGAAGAAGCAGGGAATGAACAATTACAATGGAATGCCTTTCTGACAGTTTGTTTGAATAGCTTGTGACTTGACTTGCATGTAGAAAAAGCATGACTTGTGATGAACTTGTGGTTGACTTGTAATGACTTCACTACAATGCTTGAGTTGAAATTGTTCTGATATCAAAATTAGCCTGCAGGTTAAGTCTTTGTCAGTTTACAAACTAAATTCTTTGCACATTTGTCAAAGCATCAATACGTTGGTGAGGGTTCTGCCAGAAATGGACTGAAAAGAACAAACAATACTTTTTGTTCACAAATGTGGCAAAAATTATGTTAATGGGACCGGTTGTGCACATGAGTAGAAATTGGGAAATATCAAACACAAAATTCAGGTTAAAAGTTAAAAGCACAGAAAATTATTGGTTGCAGTTACATTTATTAACCCTAACCTTCCCAAATCCTCCAAAATTCTCTTTGCAAAATGGATGATTTTGCAGGATCGAGGCTAAATATGGCAAAAATGTGTGGCTGATTTTGGAGGATGCACTGTGCCAAAGCTTTAGGCCGGACCTTGTGTTGTTTATGCTCAGTCGTGCATAAATTTCGCCCTAGATTATACTTGAAATCCTCCGCACTGCTCCAAGGACCACATTCAAGAAATGACGGATGATTTTGCAGGATTGAGGCTGTTCGCAATGTTTACATGGAGGCAGTTGGAGGATTTTGCAGGATTGAGGTTGCATCCTAAAATGCCAAGGGAGTTAGGATTAAAGAGGAAATTGTCTTCATTTCTGGAATTATGATGTTCAATGCTCAAACTAAATAATTTTTGATGAATTAAATTAACTAGAGAGGAATTTACAATTAATATAAAGAAAGAATCATTTAGAAATTTAAATCATAATAATTTAAACATGAAACAGAGAATGTCTGACTTACGGCTTCTTCAACCTGCTCTGGGGTGATCTCAACACCAATGCCACATGCCGACTCAAACGCCTTCACGTCAATGGGATCCGTCGGATGCGACTTGAAGTAATCAAGTGCAGCTGTCAAATGGAAAAAGAAAAACCAAGAATATATTAAAGAATGAAATTGCAAAGCAACTATAGAGGAATCCGGTGATCAGAATTAGAAGCTGTTACTGCGGTGGTGCCATGCTCAGGCGAATGCAGCAAGCGAATTTCTTTTCCGTAGGTGGGTTGCTCCCCAGTCACGAATAATTCAATAGTTTAAATTGGGCCAGTATGTTTATTCATGAAACAGAACAATGATATCAAGAGTATTGTTGTTATTTAGTCAACCAGTTACCTTTAAAGCATTTTAAAGTACGGTCGTCGTCGAGCTACCACACAGTAGCCTAGTGGATAGCGTGATGAGCTATGGATACAATGATCCCTGGTTCGAAACATTGCCGCTGCTCATCTTCATTGACCATTTTCTTCTCTGAGTTTATTGTTGAGATAATTTTATTCTAAGGCAAAAAAAGGGGACGAGAACCTAAGTGTCTTGCAACGATTCAAAGGTAAACTGAATTATGCATGACATTTGAGCAACCCACCTATGTAAAAATAAATCGCAAGCTGCACACGTGCTTAAAAATGAGGCGCGCCCATTTTGGTAACTATAATGGTCAAATGAGTCCAAAGCGCATGCGTATTACCTGAGCCAACTCATGTGAGCCTCGTGCCACCTCCGAAAATGGCTGTTGCCAGATTAGTCTATACATTCTTGCAATTTTATCACGAAATTCAAGCCTCGTTCAGAGGCTGGCAAAAATTCTTAGAAATCTGAAGTACTACTTTGTGAGGTGAATGCACAGAATGCAAGAGGAATTAAATTAAAAAAAATCTTTCGTTTTGTTGTTGTTGAGGGTGACACTTGAATAGAGCCACAGGCACTTAATCTTTTAGCAAATACCTGTAAAAGAAAAATCACCTGTCAGTTGAGGTTCGGAACTCAGTCCCTTGTTGATAACGTATTCCAGGAGAAACCCCAGACGATTTTTATTCTTCATCCGTGTCGCAATGTGATACAGCAATGCACCACACGCTTTGTCAATCGTACCGCCTCCATTGTGCCTTTTGGCCTACAGGAAAAGATAAAAAATAGAAACTTTGTGGATAATTGTCAGACACAGAGCTGTTGCAGAGTTTATCGAATTCAATCACATGTCAAATCACAGGAGCCGATTTCACGAAACGCTAAGACGCGTCTTAGGAAGGGTTACTCATCTTAACTCACGACTCGTCCCAGGATCGATTTCACCAAACTTAAGATGCGCTCAACACGTCCTAACTTTCCTTAGCAACGCGGCTGGACTCGTCTTAACCTAAGATGAGTTTGAGGGTCATCCTATCTCATTAATGCGTGCGTTAATTTATATCGTCTGGAAATCATTGCAATCTTCTCGTTAAAGATGAGTGTCGGCCTAGAGTTATAGTTTCGAGGAAGAAAACCGCTGTAGAAAAAGAATTGAAAGATTTCTGATACGTGGATAGTGAGTTTAGGCAGTTTAGGATTTTTAGATGACAACCCCACTGACCTATTTCTTCCTTTTTTCACCTGAAAAATTGAATTTTCTTTCTTTTACATAGTTAAATCAAGTTCTTCAATGAAATAAATTCCACTTTTTTTTCTTATTCATCATGTTCACAGCTATAATATGAAGGATTGTTAAAGGGATGAACAACTGACTAAGTGACCAGATTTAGTAAAAAAAAGTAGATTAACATTCTTGGCCTAATACATTTTACAGTAAATGACCCCCGGTTGTGTATGGCGTGTCAAATGTTGCAATATTGCATGTTTTACAATGTATATTTACAACGTTCAATATTAGTGTGCAATGTTTTACAAATATATGTGCGATGTTCAAATATGTGTGCAATGTTTTACATATTTGATCATCGTACCTATATTTGTTATACATCGCACACATATTTAAATATCGCACATTAAATAATTTTTAAACATGTTATTGTTAAGACATCGTAACCATATCTGAACATCGCACATTATATTTGTAAAAACATGGGACACTCAGTCACTCTAACAGCATCGTACATAATAAGATTTCTGGTAAAAAAAATGACACACATAGCTAAGGCCTATTTGAATATCGCATTTACATGTATTTGCAAAATATTTCACACATAGGCCTAATTATTTGAACATCACACATTAATACTCATCGTACACACATTAATAACATCGTACACATTGTGAGCAACACACATAATTTAGGGGAAAAAATGATGTAACCTGACGCAACTTTTTTTCTTCATATAGCCTTATAAGTTATAGGCCTGTCGTCTCAATGAAGGTCATTATGAATATGATTCATTGCATTGGTTGCAAAAATGATGATAAGGTTATGAATCTTGCCGGACTGAGAAACATTTCCAATTTTAGGAAATGCTTAGAAAATGGTCATCCTTACTTTTAGGACACCTCTATTTTTTACGAGTTCTGTTCAAAACTGACTTTTACAGATGTCTGTCCAGTTCCAAAGTGACTTTTGCAGGCTAAAGCAGTCTTTAGAAGTCAAGAAGGTGTCATTGCCAATTGTTCAGATGTGCCAAGAAGTATCAGAATGTCAATTTTGAGTGTCATTTAGTCAACTGTTTTGGTAAGTCTTTCCCTTCCTATATAGGAACGGGGTCCTAAAAGTAAGGATTACCATAATTTATACATTAGAACTTTGAATTTTGCAATGTTTGACACGCCATACATCAGTCATCATGTACATAAGGCATTAAGGGGCCCAGGGCACTAGGGTCAGCGCGCGCCAGGCGTCGTCGGCCGCGGCCGGCAAATGAAGCTGATGAAGGGCATTAGGCCTACCTCGTTTATTACTTGTTTCAAGTCATTCGCTAATGACTCGTTCTTCAGGGTTTCCTTCGCCTTCTGTTCACTCAGTCCAATACTGGTAAACAAGTTTATAAAATCGCCGGAGTTCGACATTACTGCACTTTCACCCTTGATTTTTGGTTTCCGTATGCATTCGAATCACACACAAAAATCCATGATGCAATATGCATGCAAAACACAAGTGCGCCGGATAGGTCATACACCCTGTACCTATTGAGTTTACTTACTCGGGAACGAATAAGGGTACCATGCTACAGTGCAAACGTGTGGATTGACTGGTTCGCTTCTATCATTCTGTTGTAATTATAAGGGATAGCTGATTACCAACGCAATCATTTGGGCTTTTAAATAATATAGAGGGCGCTAGAGCATTTTCACGGTCTGGTAAAAAATGTGACTTGCTAGCGGTATCCACTATCAAAACCAGACCACCGCCCAAAAATAAAAAAGAGGAAAAACACTCTTATCCCTGAGGCGTTCAAGACAAACATCAAATTAATACCTGATTTAACCCTTTTTTTACGCCCTGTTCATTGCAGTAAAGTGTTTATCCAATAGAAGTATTAATGTTGATGTACCCTAACGTGGCGCGGCCCCTAACGTTATTATGTGACCCACTTTGATTTTTTGGCCTGTAGCGCCTAGCTGGAGCAAAAGTTTTAAGTAAAATTTCACAGAGAGTAAAATTTCATCAAGTTCTAAAACACTCCCGTTCATAAATCACAAAGTTATCTATCCGTTACAAAGTTAGAAAAAAAGTATTTCGGCGTGATTTTCCGATTTTATTTCGAAGGGCACAGTGAACCCTTTGAAAATGTCCCGAAAAAAAATAGAAAATAATTTTCTGACAAACTTCTGGTTGGGTATGTAAGTAGAGATAAAAATTAATTGTTTATCAGAATTGATCATCTTCGCAGAAATTCTGTTAAATTGGAATTTTCCGAGATTTATTCAAGTGTGCCACATTGGGGAACACTCAGCCGATTTGTGCCCAATTTCCGGACGCCACCGTTGTTGAATTAATATAATCCGGATTATATTTCAAGAAACCGAAATTGTTCACAGAGGTTAAATAGCAGTAGGGAACACCACTATTTCCTTCCAGATATGATTACGTATGGGCCCCTAGATTTAAATTCGTCTTGAATGTTGAAGCAGACCACCATCATTTACAGGGCAAAACTCGACTTCGGATAGCCTGCCAACGGTGCGCGTAACGGGGCAACAATCGGTGGCTTCATTTCCAAAGCGCGCCCTCTGGGGTGAGGGCCGCAGGCACAGCCAATGTTCGCTCGTACCCACCCGGCCGCTCTGTTTGGGTACGAGCGAACGGCTGATGGACGGTGGACCATTGAGGAATAAAACACATTATTCCTCCATGGGTGGACATTGTCTATAATTTAGTTTTTCAATAGTTACATGCAAAAAAACCTAAAATGGAACACCCAGGTTCAAGAAATGATTCCACATTCTAGTCGCTTAAAAAAGTTTGGTGTTCCCAGAGAAGATCAATATGCTGCAACTGTGTGGCACTGTGGTCTAACTTCAAACCAAACGTCGAGTATCGAAGCCATACAAAAAAGGGCCTTCAGAATAATTTTGGACCATGGTTATTCATCCTACGATAATTCACTGTCTAAATTTAATGTTAAGACCTTGGCTCACAGGAGGGAAGACCTTTGTTTACAATTTGCCAATTCTTGTGTTGTTTCTGAGCGTTTTAAGAGCTGGTTTTCTCAAAAAAATAATCATACTCATGCAATGGAATTCGGCAAAAACGGCATTTTATTGAACCTAAAGTACGAGTGAAAGGTACGGCAAAAGTTCTATGCCGATATAATTCTCTTACTAAATTACTTAACACACAAACTTGATTCTTTACTTTAATTTTGACAGTGTCTGTTTTTTCCCCCAATGTGTCCCATTGTGTATATGGAATTTTTACGTGATAAAACCTTTTTCTAAGCTCACTCTCTTATAATTTTATCTGGTAGGGCTTTGCTATAGAATAGTACAGGGGTGAGTCTTTATCATTAGTGTATTTTGATATCTATGTTCAAATGTAGTATATATTTTAATGCTCGTTTTTAAAGACTTCTGTGATTTAAACTGTTATTTTAACTTTTTTCAAATCATTTTATTGTACATTAAACCGCAATTCGGCCTTCTGGTCGCCAGTGTTTGATAATAAATAACAATAATACTTATAATATAAATGGTCCATCGATGAATTTTTCTGAATTTTTTTGCAACTTTCTACTCCTCTTAAACGAAAACTATTTGTTATCACGTTTTGGCTAATTTTATGGAAAAGTGCACTTCTTTAATAAACATTTCCAATTTTCCTTACTTTTTTGGATAACCGAGGGCGCTGTTGCTATGATGTCAGGAAGACAATGTGCAGTTTATGGGTTTTCTGTCCAAATTGTGAACCCAAAATTTACTCATATAAGTGAAAACATCATTTTCTAGCTGCTCAATTTGCTTACTGCCATGTACTGGCACAACAATGAATCACCAAAGAAAAGAAAAATTATGATAGTCAAATATCCAAACTTCTTGCAACTTTTTGTGCTGAAATAGCTGTAGGCCTACGAGGTTTCTAGCATAAAAACAAAATGGCACAGCCGACAAAACGAAAATTGAAAATTAGGTTAAATTTTACACTAGAGTGCCTTTAAATTTTCAAATTAAAGAGTATAGTAAAATCCCAGTGAATTGCTGGGAAAAAATATATTTTTAAAATGAATCGGTATGGTTCATTATTTGAAATAATTATCAAGTTTAACGGGGGGGGGGGGGGGGGGAGGGGATGTAATTTTTTTAATGCAATCCTTGAAAATGCAAATTTTTGTCCCCGAACACTATTTTAAATTTTCATTTTGCCATTTTCAAGGGTATTGTTGTGCCTTTTTGTTTTTATGCAAAAGCCAATTGCCATAAGTGTGATGTCATTTCAGGCAGAACCCTCAATGTTACTGCAATTTCAGCACCAAAACTTGCCAGAATTTTGGATACTACAACGGTAGATTTTCTGTCCTTTAGTGATTCGTTGTTGCGTCAGTACATGGCAGTAAGCCAGTGAGCAAACTTTTCTCACAAATGTTTTTGAATGAGCAAATTATTGGACTCACAATTTGAATGACATCAAATCATCAGCGCCCTAAGTTGTCCGGAAAAAGCATGGAATTTTTTTAATGTCTTAAAGATGTGCACTTTTCAATAAAATTAACTAAAAAAGGATGTTAAAATAGTTGTCATACATCTAAGTTGAAAGTTGTACAAAATATGTGCCTAAGATCTTTGCATGGACGGACGTATGTGACCCCTATAAAATCCGATCATGCATTCTGGTCAGAAGTCGCTTTTGCGCGAGATAGTAACCCGGCGCCGATTTTGATGGACCGACGAAATATTTCAAAATCATTAAAATTGCCAAAAGGCTTCAAAACCCGTTACCTCCCGCGGTTCCATGCATGATATACGGTACGCATTAAGATGTTCCGTTGGTCCTCTTCAACAAATTCCGAAAATATTTGTATCTTTTATTTAAACGAAAAAAAAAACCCAACAAATAGAAGTCTTTTTTGGCGTTTCAATTAAAACCTCAGAAAAAGGTAAAGATTGGGTTGGTTTGCGCAATAGACCCAGCGAATTTGCTACTTCCCGGTTCCTATACTAGCGAAGAAAGAACTGAGTTATTGTTTGGCCAAAATAAGATTTTTTGTAATCGAAAATCGTAAAGTGATTTCAGTCCATCATTACAACGTCGGCGGATTTTAAATTTTCGTTCGATGTCTTGTGTAAAAGTGAATAACTTTTGTTTTACTACAAATAAACACTATTTCTTTATACTTTAGGCGTATGAAACCACCACAAAAGGCTTTTAATTCCGGGCTTGGTTTTGCGCTTCTAACGTGCAAAAAGATCGCCCTGAATGTACTGTCGCGGGCGGTATGAAAAACAAAATCGTTCCCCCCCCCCCCGTTGTTTCAGTTGAAAAGTTGATTTCTTTTGTTTTGTTAGAAATATAGTACTTTAAAAACAAATACATTTTGGGGTCACACTCGACGGCACGAAAGTAGGCCTACATCTTTAATGTAAGGGTCATTTGGGCCACTGAATATTTTTTTTTTTAAGGAAAGAATGTTGCAACCCGACGCTGCTTTTTTTGCAAAAATGTTGATATAAAGACATGAATCTGGGACTGAGAAACATTTCCAATTTTGTTAGGAAATGTTCTTGACTCTCCATAGACTTTGTACACAACCACTGAAGTAGCATCAGGTTGCAACATTCTTTCCTTTTTTGATTTGATTTCAATTTTTAGCCTATTTTTATACCTCGTGTATTTTGGGTTTAATCCTATTCCCCCCCAAAAATGAATATCAAGATTAAAAATAGCCATACATATTGATATACATGTATAATACCGTCTTCTACGATTTAATATTATGCGCATAATTTAAATTTTTAAGCAGTTTACAAATTATTGAAATGGGGTGGGACCGCAGATATAGATATGATTCATGTGGATTACACAATGATGAGTGTTCTGCCTAGTAATGCTGCATGAATGCCGAGTGTGCAGTACACAGTAAAGCAATGTCTCATCGAACAATAAAAGTTTACTGCCCGTCTTAATTTGCATATCAATAGATTGCTTATCGTTAATTGGCCTATTGTAAGCACGTGACATCTGTTGGCTGGCGACGTCAGTTGAATGACGTTGTAAACAAGAGAACAGCCAGCGTGTATCCATAGAAACCCCAGGCAAATTCCATAGTGTGTACACAGCGCATGCATTAGCGCCACACACACCAAGCCGCATAATCGTCGTACACAGCTGCCATTTTGGATTCATAATTTGTAAAGCAGACGTGGAAATGATCATCGAAAACTCAGGCTAATGTGTGTTGAAATGGTGGAGATCGGTAGCATTGTGGACTGATTAAGTTGAACTTGATGTCCAAGCAGAACATGATCGATGCAACGATGGTGGATACCTACTCGATTTCGAGAAAGCCGAATGTGAATTTACAGGGGGCATCACGGACTCGGTCGCTGGCGACTGGCGAACCGCTGTACCCGGCGCACATCACGGACAACACGGCCCGGACTGTTGTTGGTAACGTAAACCATGCCCAACATGTGGAACTACCACCGATCAAAAGCCACACGATCGGTGGCTCGAAGGTGCAGAAACCCAGTGAGAACATTCCAAATGGCATCCAGGTTCAACAGTTATTTGAACCGGACGACAACCATAACTACAAAAGACAGGTCCAAGCTTCGAAACAAGTTGCCAACGGTGTCGTGGCAAATCATGCCCGTCGACCGTCAAGTGACAATAGCTCTGACTCCAAAAGCAACTCTGCGAAGCATCGCTCATTGCCAATGACACCCGAAGAGGCTATGAAATTGTACATGCACAAACTCACTTCCTACGAGCACCACGAGATCTTCAACACACCACAGATTTATTTTGTTGGACCAAATGCAAAGAAGCGGCAAGGAGTCATCGGAGGAGCGAATAACTGTGGATATGATGATGACCAAGGGTCGTATATCCATGTCCAGCACGATCATGTTGCATACAGATATGAGGTTCTCAAGATTCTAGGCAAAGGAAGCTTCGGTCAAGTGGTCAAGGTCTATGACCATAAAACCAACCAGCACATTGCCATCAAGATGGTACGCAACGAGAAACGATTCCATCGACAAGCACAGGAAGAGATCCGCATTTTGGAACACCTCAAGAAACAAGACAAGGACAATAACATGAACATCATTCACATAATTGACAGCTTCACCTTCCGCAACCATATATGCATCAATTTCGAGTTGCTCAGCATGAATCTCTATGAATTGATCAAGAAGAACAAATTCCAGGGATTCAGCCTGCAGTTGGTGCGCAAATTTGCCCACTCGTTGCTGCAGTGTCTAGATGCCCTTCATCGAAATCGCATCATCCACTGTGACATGAAGCCGGAAAACATCCTACTGAAGCAGCAGGGGCGTAGCGGCATCAAAGTAATCGACTTCGGATCGAGTTGCTATGAACATCAGCGCATCTACACCTACATCCAGAGCCGCTTCTATCGAGCTCCCGAAGTCATTCTTGGTGCCCGGTACGGCATGCCCATCGACATGTGGAGTCTCGGATGTATCCTGGCGGAGTTGCTCACTGGCTACCCTCTACTACCCGGAGAAGATGAGGGAGATCAGCTAGCCACTGTGATTGAGCTCATGGGAATGCCTCCACAAAGGCTGATTGAGCAGTCCAAACGCGCCAAGAACTTCATCAACTCCAAGGGTCATCCGCGCTATTGTACCGTCACCACCCTCCCAGATGGTACGACAGTCCTCAATGGTGGGCGATCGAGGAGAGGCAAGGTTCGGGGTCCACCTGGCAGTAAAGATCTAGTCAAGGCTCTCAAGGGCTGTGATGATCCCCTCTTCATTGATTTCCTGAAGAGATGTCTGGATTGGGATCCCCAAAGTCGTATGACACCTAGTCAGGCGCTGCGTCACGCTTGGCTGCGCAGACGGCTACCCAAACCACCTACAACCGATGCAACTTCTGCGAAGCACAAGAGGCACGGCTCGTCCACTGTTGCGAAGCTTCCACCCACTGGACAGAACATGAGTGCGAAGAACCGCCAAGCTGCAGACCAGTCGACGCGTACAGTCCTACCGAAAATTGTCACATAGAAATAGGACTAAGTCTAGGATGATCACAGACACCGATGAATTCAGCACACTGCACTAAGCAAGCAAAGTGTGATCTTTTTGTGGCAAGACGTTTGTCATTAACCAAAGACCAACTGTCTATTTAAAAAGTGTGTGTTTTCGGGGAATCTTTTGGGGAACTTTCGTCAGATCGAGAATAATTTGATGTGCCGAATGTTCAGCAGATTTCTTTTGTTCTGTTTTAGGAACTAGATTCATATGGTGTTGATTTTTTTTTTTCTGGATGGAAAATATTGAGTGATTTTTAACTACCGCTTTTATTATTGTTATTTTTTTAATCCTTCGTCACCGATGCTATGAAGGTTTTAACTGATTTTTAAGAACTTCAGTTTTTAATTGAAGCCAAAATGAAAGATTATGCCATTCAAAAGACGTGACTTGAAATCAAACAGAGAATGCCGTACATAGAACGTACTCTGCAGTTGTATAAAATCGTGTACAAACTGTATAAACTTTGTAGATATGAATATATTTTTATGTGCACTTTTTACCTGATTCCTTGTTTGAAAGAGAAATGTTAGGCATTCTTTGTTTGGCCAATAAGATTTTCATACTTTTAAGTGGTGATGATACATTCCCAAAAGTGTTTTAAGCCCTAAGCTATTTTTAAGACCAAATGTTTTATTGAAACATGCTTGAAGACACCAAAATGATTTTTTGTTATCAATGAATTTTTCTGAAATGGATTCACATTAGCAAGCATTTGATTTAGATCGTTCTTGAACCTGTGAACATATTCATCGTGATAGCCCTGTCTAGTTAAAGAACAGAAAATTCCAATTTGATGTGTCATTGTTTTTGTTTTCAAATTTGCACAGTACTTCAGGGACACTAAGAGTCTTTTACAGTAAAAGAATATAGAGAGTTTAGACACAAGTGATTTTGACCGCATGGGTATACATGCATGTAACTGCGCACAGCAGTTGTTATTCACAGTTCCGAAGCATTGTGTACCCCACTAACAACAATCCATTGTATACCATTGGAGGCTTTACTATTGTCCAGTCCATTCAGAGTGAACAATACTCGCAGCTAACCATAAGTAACTGGCTCAAGGGCTAGGCTTATATATGCATATTGTGTCTGATGTTTTTTGTATGACACCTACAACCACTATCAATGAATTTGGTGAAATCAAGGTTGCACATGGCTCTGCAAAATCTTTGTTGTATTTGAAATGTACTCTGTCCACTTTTTATGGATAAGCCTTTTTTCCCCCCTCAATGTCAAGTCGGGTGAAGGATTCAGTATTGAATATTACTGGGGTCACATAGTTCAAGGGCTTTTTTTCTACTTAAAGACATCACCAAAATGCAATGACTTATCCTGAGGGATTTTGTGATTAACTGTTTTGAATATGTACTAAATGGACAAGTAAATGAACGCTCTAAAGCTATTTAATCCATGATTATGGATATTGGATGGAAAAAGGGCTTAGTATGAGTACAGGTCTATTATGTTCAGGGCTTTTTGGTTTTGAATTTGTCTTGTTTTGTGAGAATTTGTGAATGTGTTCCATTTCCGAATATCATTTGCACCAGGTTGAAATTCATGTAATAAGGACCATTTTGAAGGGGGAAAAAAAGCAAGAAAATATGATGCAGGTTTAGAAATATTTTAAATGCCGTGTTGTGTGTCAAACATTAAACCTGCACCCAAACAGTTGACATTGTACTGAATTTTCACTCTTTCTCAAGATTATTTTTTAACTTTTTTATGGAAATAACGCACACAAATTCAGTCTCAGAAAAAGGAACAGATAAGCTAATTCATGTTCTCTGCGTAGCCTTTCAGGAGATCAGCTTATTCCTGTGAAATCAAAATTCCATCACTGCTAACTTGATATGCACACGGTTACCCTAGCAACGGGCACTCGTTACCGTGACAATACTCCCCCTGGGACTTTTTGTTTCAGATTGCGAGAGCAAACATGGTGGCGCATACAGAAAATTCAAGGTCATGTTCATTGCACGTTGATTGTAAAATGAAATTCTATGTGGTGATTACTATAAAAACGGCAGATACCTAAGAATACTAATAAAATTAAGTACTGTATTTCATGAATTTGGCTGCAATCGTGAGTTATCATGGCAAAATGTTGTATAAATCACATCATGACAGTTTGGTTTACACCTTTTTCCCCCCATGGTTAGGCAGTCGGGAAGAGTAAGACCTCAGATGTAAATGTCAACAGCCCTTTCATGCTGTTATTTCCTTTCATTTCCAGTATTCATTAACTTCCTTAAACTCTGCTTGAATGAAAACCCACACACAATTCATGTACCTTTGCACCAAAAAGTGAAACAAATATGTAAGAATTTATTAAATACACTTTTATTGGAAAATATCAAAATGAAATTTTGTTTCATCATAAAGGAATGTGCAAACATTTAGCAGTGGTTATTCATATTGTTTAGTGTCCTTCTACATGTTGTACATGTGATGCACTTGGTTCAAGTTTCATGCAACTATCTATAGTAAATTATTTGTGCTCTGTTCGTAGACATACTTCTGCCTTAAAACCAAAGAAAATATGGCGGTACTGTGTACATGTTCGTTGCGACATTCACTACCGAAATAAATTCGAAAAACGCCAACTTTGTAGTTCATTCGAAGAAATGTCGGGAGGTATGCTAACTATGGTAATGACACTCTAACCATTGTTTGCATACAGTATATAAAAATACATCCTGGCTTTACAATTTTTTTCAACTTTGCTCCCAAATTTTGAAGCCCTGTGAAGCAATTTGAACCGTACCTACATGTAGCAACTATGGGCAGATAAGCGTGCCAAATCTTAGCAAAGGTCAAGTACATGTGTACATGCATTTCAACAATGCCGGTTTTCGTTGTTGTGTGGGTCTCCATTATTGGGTACAACAAAACTGTGACTGTAAAAATGTATACCCACACAGGAGCTTATTTGAAGTATATTTGGTATTTTCTCTCTTGCTTTTTGCAAAGTATTAGTGGGTAAATGTGTGTGGTTTGTTTAACAATGTGGTGTGCGGATAAATTTGAAATTGTAAACAGTTTGAGCACACCTGTGCTTTTTTTCAGCTGTCCGTCCAAATTAATGCAAGATATTTTGGGTCTGTAAATGATAACATGTGTGCCGGTTGTGTACAAAATTTTGCACGAGATTGATTCTTTTTTTGTATAGGTGCAAAATTGTGGAATCTTTCGATTCCCTACGTTGTGGTACAAAGAGTACTGAACCTCATACTATGACTAGCCTAGTTTATTTTCATGCAGTTGGTTGCCTGTACACACACATGAATCTGAATCTGAACTGTAAATGGAATTTAATAAAAAGTGTACACGACTGCAAAAAGATATGATGGACACGTACATTGTGTTGTTTTTATTTGTCAGAATTCTGCTTCGAAGTTTCCGTTCATGTGTAGGTATTCATGTTTGAAACATGCAAGATCTTGGTCGAACATCCGATATCCTAGCATGCAAATGTTATGTGACCCAGCGCGCCAGCACATTAGCTATTTGCGAATAACCTTTACCCTTTGCAAGTTTAAATTTGAATAACGTCTGGTACACTGACTTGCTCATAATGCTTGGCACAGAATTCTCCAGATCAAAGACACTGTTGCTGTATCACATGATTCGGGGCAAGCTCTTGCATAGTTACGTAAGAGACGCTCAGCACCACTACATTGTTCACAATGGGTGAGAATGGCACAAAGACACCAGACCATGCCGGAGCTGGGGGTTGCTAGGGTAAGGCTTGCCCCGAATCACGTGATATAGTATCAGTCTCTTTGGTCTGGAGAATTCAGAGTTAAAATGTGCCAAGCATTCGACTGATTCGAGCAAGTCTGGGTACCAGATGTTACTCCAATTTAATTCCCAAATGGCTTATCGGAGACAACTTTAGAAATTGTGACGTCACTTCGATCAGAACTATGGACTAAGCTGTTGATTGGTCAATTTGGCTACCATGTTTTGTAATACAACAAACCTGTTACGGAAGACCTGATAGAAGGCACCTGCGGAATGGTCAGAATCTGGAGATCAAGACGCAGTCTTGTTTTGCATAATTAATTGTCAAATCTGCTCGCATGTCATAGAGCAAGGGGATATTCTATAGACAAGGAAGGTATGGGCTGTGTAACCAAAACAGGGATCAGGCTAGTCTTAGTTCAAGACAGGATTCTAGATTATCATTCCTTTAAGTGCAAGCCAGTCAATCCCGTCTTGCCTAAACCAAGTCTAGGAACAGGCTCGCACAATGGAGAGACGAAACAATAGTCCAGCGGATAATGTGCTATAAACACCGTACCAATGAATTGTGATCTTTTTCTTAAAAGCGTTAAACTTTACAGTACGATTATATTCACGAGAAAAAAAAAAGTTTCAGATTTGGAGTCATTGCAAACTTCCCTTCATGGGCGTGGCAGCCATTTCTTAAAATGGGGGGGGGGTGTAACAATTTTGCCTTCAAATCCGCTTTACTACACTGGAAAAGAGGGAGACCAATGAATATGCCCATTAGCTCTATTCAGATATGCGGGACACAAGAGGAGGGGCTTTTTGGATTGGTAGTTTAAGGGTTAATACAAAAGAATCCAAACCAAACTATAGCGCCCTCCTTTTTTGTCCATTACAATGTATATCTAAAAAAAAACAAGCTAACAATTAACAGAGTGAAGGATGAAATGAAGCAGCGGATGGGTCGTTCAAAGTGCAGGGTCTCTCAAAGAATGTTCCGATACGTATACATGTACATTGTAGTGGGAAGGATATACATGTACATGTATTAAGGTATTTTTTTTTTTAATAGATGTAACTATAGCAATAGGCAGCTTTCTTATCCATGCATTTTTCAATCAATATGACAGCTCGACAGGTCAAGGATGTTTTGGTTTATTGCTCGGATTTTCTCCATACATAAATAATACAGCCTTCCCCGGATCATGCCATTGGCTAACTCGTATACTGCACACCGTTTCGCAGTAATAGAGAGCTTCGCCGGTGAATAGGTCTTTGTACTTTTATGATACGCATGAATGGACACCTTGTTATTTAATTGCCATTGAATGAATAACTAAACCCGCACACACTAAAGGCGCTCGGTGGAAGCCCTTTATCGGATTTTTTTATATATATATATTTTTTTAGAGTTTTCCTGATATTTCACAAGTTATTAACACATTTTTTGTTCTTGAAAGGCCACGCCATTATTGGTGGCGCGCCGGCAGGTTCCAGAGAGAATGTTGACAATTTTACGACCACAAAGAAGGGTTGTTTTTTAAGGGGGGGGGGGGGGGGGGGAGTGTTTAAAACTTAATAAGGTCCCACTTTCTCAATGTCGATATACATGTAATTAATAGATACACAGAGCGGTTCTCGTAAGTTACTGCATTCCAGCACATTCCGTCCGACCGCGCCGACGTTCATGATTGTTAATATGGAGAAAAATCCAGAGTCTCCTTTTCTAAAACATCATCATACAAGATTGTAGTTGGTTCAAAATAAAAACCGTTCAGGATCCGCTTTGGACAAAACAACTTTAGCACCCACTTTGAAATAGTCCTGATGGTTCCTCTTCTACAGAGTTTCACTTATGCCATACTTCACCAAGATGCGTGCTTTCGTAGTTCCAAAGTCTCCAGTAATATAATATTGTTTCATCCCACCATGGATATGATAAGTTTATCCCTCCCTGAAATTGATGCCTGCCAACCAAATCTCCGTTAGACTGGAACTTGCAGTGAGAAAAAAAGCAACACCTCCGAAGAAAGGTCTTACGACCCCCCTATTAATAGTCAGGAGCACTTACCATTTTTAATAAGCAACCCCCCCCCAAAAAAAACCCCATTTATATACATGTACAAATGTATACATACACAAATTTCCGAAATCTTCCCCTAAAACGTAAAATTTCAAAACCCCCAGCGCCCCACCACCGCTCATTGATGCGCCATTGTTACTGTATCGCAGTCCTGTGCAGTGAGATATCCATTTCGCTTAATGCATGCAGAAAGACATTAATAGCACGCGCTCTCAATGTCAATGAATTTAGAAAAACACTTTTTCACAGTCGTGAAAATGTTAATGAGCTGTCATTATTCCATAGAAATATCTCAATGCAACCACTTCCTCTCGCTGGCTCAGACTATAAAAACATTTACGGGCATTAAATACAGCGTTTAACAATGCACATTGCTAATGTAAACTGTAATTTTGCACGTATACTTTGGGACAAGATATTGGATATACCATTTGTACTTCCGTTAATTGTCATGGTTAACACTTTTACCGTGGCTATTTTTATTTTTTTCCTACCCGTGTCCCAAAGTTGCCGGTGTACATGTATTTTCAGAATGCACATATACATGTACATGTACATTTTTTTTTATACAATTTATCTAATAGGCATATACAGACATTTTCGTGTCTTTGGAAGTGGGGAGGGACAAAAACAGACCACATAGGCCTACAATGTATAATTTATGACGAGTGAATTGTTAAACAAATATGTACCGTATTCTCTCATTTCCAAAAATAGGTGGAAATTCATCTTATTTAAGTAACTGACCTATTTGAGCCTGCAGACGTAAACTAGTATTAGAGTGAATTTCACTCCATCGAATCCAGTCAGTTTCACCAACCTCGTCCCCCGTGCTTACTTTATTTCCAACCGTGTTTCCAATAGAGCAGGTAGTGATGGGCGCGTACTGTTCGACACCCTGGGGCCGAGGCTGAGTTTTCACAGGATCGATCCTTTTCAGAGAACATGTCATGTACATGTATTTCAATCTAAAATTAGAGTTATTTTCACTCCAAATTGCCGTCTGGTCCGAGTTTTTCCACTCCTTTCATTGTTTTTTTTTTTTTTTTTAAAGAAGTACATGTACACGTTTATACATGTTTTGTTTTGAATTAAAACTACTTTTTCTGTTGTTGGCGTCCGAACCCTCTGAAAAAAAGTACCTTATATTTGGGTTGCTTTTTTGCGCAGTAGACTGGTTCCGGTCCCATTATTGTCGACTCTGGTATGGTGCGGGAACTACTCTACCCTTCGAACCACACTTGTCGATCGGCAAACAATAATATTCGAAATGTGTGAAGAAATCATTCCATAACTAAACCCGGGCCTATATTTGTTTTTCATTCGATGATTCATTCGTTTATAATGGGGGGGGGGGGGGGGGGGGGGGGGGGTCGGGTCGGGCCCGCGGGTGGATCTCGAAAATAGCACGGACAGTATAGGCCTACGTCCTTCAAAGGATCCAGAACACATTTTTTTTTTTGGGGGGGGCTCATTTTTTAGATTCTAGTTGCTCTGTGGTGCGATCTGAGGCAATTTCTGACCACTTTAACCAATGTTTTTTGAGGAAAAGATGGTGGTGTACTAATTGCCAACCATTATTGCGACGTCACATAAAAAAATATTGGGTTTGTTTTCTTGGGGGGGGGTTCCACGGCCCCATTTGCCCCCCCCCCCCCCGGATCTGCCCATGGCGTCCTTAAAGATAATACCGCATGGTTTAAAAAAAACTGACCTTTTTTTCTCCTAAGAACTTTTCAATTTGAACAGACACGTAGTTTAACGAAAAACGACTTAATTACGATTTGGAGCGTCTGCAACCGTCTGAAAAGGGACTTCTATTTTGTGCAAAAATACCCTACCCCCCCCCCCCCCCCCCCCCACTGCGAAAGCAAAATCATTGTCTGGCAACCAAATGAGCCAATTCGAATGAAGTGAAGAAATAATTCAATAACTAAATGTCGGCCAATCTTTTTTTGTTCAATGTCTTTTTCAAAATTAATAACTTTTATACTATAAAAAAATAGCAATTGAAAAAGACCCGTCCGTTTTTGAGGTAGACCTCGAAAATATAGAGCAAGGGCAGTACACAAAGCCAATTCACCTTCTCAGAAAATCTAAAAAGCACCATCACCAAATGTGATTTATTTGTAAATTGATGGCATGCAATTGATGTCATCGTGCAGTTGATGTTATCGTACATCTGCAGTATTCCCAGCAAAGGCTACAGTTGAATCCAGGGAAGTCGGATGACTAATTAACAATGGAATGGCTTGCTGTCATCTCGACACACCCAACTTAGAAGCGTAGCAAGCAAGAAAATGCAAATAATGTACGCACTCACAAAACATCCACACGTAGTAAATTATTACATGTACACAGTATTTTGGGCGCGGTTGTCATTTGTAGAAAGAAGCTTGCGTGCATATTGATTTAATTGTGCGCGAAAAAAAAAAAGACATGAGAATATTTCCAATTACGCGAATAACTTATGACAGTAATATAATAAAGTCTGCGTTTTTTTGTCTTTTACTATTTTGCTAATGGGTGGGTGGGTCCGTAATTGCTACAGCTGATTAGTGACAGGGCTAATGACCGAAGTGCAGACAAACAGCGGGGGGGGGGGGGGGGGAGTAGTGGTTGGCAAGTCCAAACAAAGATCATTACGAACAAAATCGTAGAGGGGGCAAAGAATCTTGAATCCGCACTCATTATTCATAATTATGTCTTCATAATTAATTGTTACATCATCAATTGATCCCTTGGAAAGTATAAATTGAAAACTTTATATACGGTAAAAACCACATGATTTTTATTACTGATTTACCATAGAGCAAGGAACAGAATAATTTGTCTTATGATTTTAACACAATGCCATGATCGCCAATACAACTCTCAATCTTACATTTAAAAATTGCCTCCAAATAGCCTTTATAAGTGCACATCCTTTTTTTAATCTAATTATTTTTGTTTTGTTTTAGATATTGCCATATAACCACCCCCTCACTGTAAAAGGGTTTAGCGACCCCGGCGCGGTCAATACTGACGCGATTGCTATGCATGAGTAAGTGGGCGACGCCCAGGCCTATTTGTTTCGCATGTGCTTCTACACTGTATTATGATGTAGGAACCATTAGAAATGGTGCGAATACGGGATACGCATGTGGCTCGGAAAAAAAACCCCCAACTATCGCCAATTTGTGTGCCATTTCACCAAACCCAAGCCTTAAAAATAATTGTTTTGTGAAAAGCCTATTTCGGGATAATCCCCATGTAGTGTATACCACGAAAAATGATAATTTAACAATGTACCGGTAGTAGGCCTATGTGAAATATTTTATATAATATATATATATATATTTTTAAGTTGTCAACTGCAAACATGTACATTTGTACTTTAATAAACCGGCATTTCCAATAACTATAATCATAACCGACGGCAAGTTATATACAATTCTGGAATTGTTTATAGCTGAGTCAAATTATGGCCAATTTTATTCATTACGTAAGAGCAGATTTTATCATGGTAATGTAAAGTCGGAATGACGGGATATTTCTGGAATACTGATTCCACAAGCAGCAAGAAAGTCTTATTTCTCCGAGTTTCAAACCTACAAGAATTCGAATCAAAATTGCGTCAATGCCTATAGCTCTTGAAATATTTGTGATGCATGGCAATTAAAGACACACCAAACACACTGCTTGTAATTTCTTACTCTGCAGAGTTTATCATTAATTGAATATATGCCAGAGATGTCAATAGTGCTTTATACAATATTTCAGAATTGTGATAGACGCATGAAATTTGGCATGTTGTTTTACATGCCTTAGCAGGGTTCGACCTTATCTCTTTTGTTCACTAGCCAGCCGGGCTACTGAAACAGACTCTTAACTATAGCCCGGGGGCATTTTTACTAGCTTGCATTGCTTTTTTTTTTTTGCTCAAATACAAAATGCCGTATTTTCAGGCTCAATTCTGAGGCAATTTTGTCGGTGTTCTAAAATAAACAAACATCTAATTTAACCCTTTAAAACAGTTGATAAAATTAGACACAAATTGATGAGGTTTGCTTTCTGAATTTAATGATTTATTTCTTCCTGTCCTTTCATCTTTGCCGTAGCCCAATAATTTTTGACTCGCCAGCCGGGCTACTTAAGGAATAGTTTGACTAGCCCGCCGCTGTTTTGACACGCATTTGGCTAGCGGGCTAGGCTACCGCTAATTTTGAACCCTGCTTAGGATTTTTGGCTTAAATGGCCATCTCAGATGTGCCCATTGCCCCAAATGGCCGCCATCAGCTGTTAAAATACCCTTTTTATGGTACATCAAGCAGGGGCGGATCCAGGAATTTGTTTTTATCGGATTTGGTTAGTTAGTTTGTTGGTTGATTGGTTTGTCTGTTAACACGAGAACTCAATAAGTTATTGACGGAATATTTAGGGTTTGTAGGGGTGGTCCTGATACTTGGTAAAGTACAAATCGATTAGATTTTGGAAGTGATCAAGATCTGGATCCAGGATTCTTCACCATTTATGCGATTATTTCTTTTGGGTACATGTACTGACAATAAGTATGATGGCGGGGAATCGTTAAGCCTTGGCGGAGGTTTGCGCTTTCTATAGTTATACCATAATATTGTTATATATTTTTGGGGTGTCAGAGCGGTGGGGGAAGGGGGGGGGGGGTGACCGCCCCGGAAAATCACCGCCCCCCCCCCCCCCCGCGCCTGTCAAGTCCACTGTAGCGGACGGAGAATGTTGGTGTATACATGTAGGTACCTATACATTGGTATAATGCAAAATATTTTCAGTTATCGGTTACCACTTTTACCATTGAAACCGATTCTCAAACACTATAGGCCTACATGTAGTAATCATAGAATACGTTTTTTTCGTATATTGGCCTAAAACGGAAAATGCATTTTTGTGAGTAAAAAAAATAACCTGAAGACTAAAATTTATGAAGCCTGATGGAAATGTTATGCCTGGTATTTTCGTGCAATAAGACGTAGTTTAAAAAAAGTTCAACAATACAATACCTGCCGCTTCAATAAAATAAGACAATGCCCCTTTCCATTTATGTGTACCTGCATACAATCAAGGATTGCGGGATCTCTAAACAACTGAGGCATTATGATAGCAGAAAGTGTACAAGCTCCGTTTGCTGCAGCTGATGTACATGTGATCTAAAGTTTTGAATGGGGAAACCAAAATTTGGTTCCTCCATTCAAAATAGATCATATGTAGGTCCTAAAGTATACTTAAAGCGCATAATCCGCATGCATCCTTTTTCATGAAAGAATCGTCCATGATCCTCGGGCGTTCTTTTCTGGTTTCATACAGGCATGGGCGTCGGCAGGAATTTTTCCAGGGGGGGGGGGACCAAGCAATTCCCCCCCAAATTACTTAACTGTTTCCATTATATTCTCAATTTATCATTTTCCCGAGCGTGAGCAGGGGAGCATTTGCCCTACCCCCCATCAAATTAACAGCAATGTGGCTTCGCACCTCTTTTTCCTTTTTTGGTTCTTTTCCCCTTTTCTTCTCGTTTTCCGGGGGGGGGGGGGCAAGCGCCCCTCCCCCCTCGCAACGCCCATGCATACAGGTACCACTTAAGACAGGACTAAAGTTCTGAGCTTCTTGTTTTGACTTTTTACCAGCATTGATCGATATGTTGGTGTCGCAAGAATCGATCCAGCCACAAACGTTATTGACAAACCGTCAACAAAAAGTCGGCAGGTTAATTTAAGCAGTCAATATGGCCATCAGGTTTGGATATATCGTAACACTAACACTTGACTTGGTGTATTCCGTTCATCTTCGTCGCCTTGTTTCCATACCGACATCGAACGGTCGCCGACTTTTGTCGTCAAGATTAAGCCAGCAACAGTCTGCGCGCCCGATCTGCAACTACTTTAATCCCCGAATGATCGATTTTTAATCACGTTTATTTGCTGTTGCGAGACTCAGCAGAGACAGGTGCCAATTTCGAATAGGTTGGGGTTTAGAAAACCCGAGGGACGATCAAACATTCTTTTAAAGAACGGAAATTTGTGTGGCCCAGTGTCGACGCCAGCGAAGTTGCTGACGGCGACGCGTCAAGGCATTTTCATGTCACATGAGGGCGCATTCAATCTCATCAGATCGAGACCTCGATGCACAGCCCTACATACAAAGTTATTTACAAGCAACAATTTACTTCATTTCTTTAATTAATTTTGTCTTTATTTCACAAAATGACACAAGTTCTATGTAAATATCACTGTAGCAACTATGTTTTCTGCATGCCTCCATTATACTGTTCACTTCTAAGTGTAGTTTATTCATAGAGCAACCTTGCTCTATGGTTTAGTTAAGGTCTATTCCAACTGCATTACATAACGTAAGAAGTCAAGCATTTTACAGCAAAAGAAACCAAATCGCATGTTCTGCAAATGAGGTTACAAAAGAAAAGCCATAATCTCTTGGGCAACTGTTACTAAGTTCAGTTCAAAACAAAACAAAAACCCCAAAACATCACACAGACCTACAATTTGAGAGGGGGAAAGTAGGGGAAGCTGTACAAAAGAGTGATTTTTCCCCACTTCTCATATATTTAATTATGCAAATACCTAGTGGTTGTTTATATTAGCTGCTAACTCTAAATGGCGACTGCTTACTGTCGGACACCCATACTTCACAGCAAAAACAGATACATGTAGTGTGTACATGCGCTACTTGACTAGAAACTGACGCAGATTTAGTTTTTATCACATCTCGTACATTTATGAACCAGTAACGCTTGTTTCATTGGTCGATGTTACCGGCGCTTCAGGGAAGCAAAAGTAGATACTGGGCACACGCGATGCAAGTACTCTAGCAGCAGTGGAAATTTCTTTACAATATTGGAGTGTGAGGGGGTGGGGACAAACAGCTTGGGTCATACTAAAGGAGGGGGGGGGGGTTACTGAATATGTTTTGAGATGTAATGAAACAAACACAACATGGTTTGCTTCAGGGGAGAAAGTGTGATATTACTGGTCCCTCGACGTCGGCCGAATCTGACTATCTCGCTCCCCTTCACGCCAGGAGTTAGTAACATCAGCCAGCACCTCAGGATCAGCTACTTCACACTTATTCCCTTTAAACCATGTTGTATTGTATATCCAAACGGACTGACTTGGTGTACATATACAGGTCGCATTGTTATATAAATGTGATATCTAAAGCCATGTCCACATTGGACTTTTTTGGAGGAAAAACCACCGAGCCAATGGTTACTTTTGCTGTCTTAAATCCAGTGTAAACAGCCTGGAAAACTTTCCACTTGGTTACTTTTTCCATCTGATTGGTGGCCGTTGATCATGTTCATTATTTGTCATACGTTATGATAAATGAAGATATAGTTTGGTCAACTGCACTGTCTCTGTAAAATTTTCCTGTGTCAAAAGTCAAAGTGCCGACCCTGGTAAGATTTTACCCATTCGGATTTTACCAAAGTCTTGGTAAAATCTCCCCCCCCCCCCCAAAAAAAATAGTCTAATGGGAGCACGGCTTTATTGTCTTGAATTAAAGTGAGTATACTTATACTACTACGCCAAGTAAAAAATACATGTACTGGCATTACGGAGAAGTCACACTGGCACAATGTGCTGGAGCTCTCAGTGTTTGCTTAATTTGTCTTCAAAAGTTTCTTCAGTCTTGCATAAAACCTTGTCTTCACTTTTCTGGAATCTTTACTTTACAGTCAACCTTGGCATCTCCTTCATGTCCCTGTAAAAGAAATAGGAACAAAACAAAAAAAATAAGGTGAGATGATAGCAAACATGCATGTAATGACTACATGTACATGGTGTGATAATGTATTCTGGCTGCTGATAACGAATGATTTCTCATGCTCTATAAATATGAATGGACATACCGGTACATGCGAGTGCTTTCTTTCTGTTTTGTTAACATTAGATTAACCCTAACCCTCTTGAGTAATTTACTAGGAACCTTCCTCACTCTTGCAAAATCTAACACTATATGGTAAACTCAACACCCAAACTGTGGAACTCTGATTATGGTGACCCCATGTAAAGCATAATCAGTTTACTAGTGCAGTACTCACTCCAACAGATTCCAACATAACATGGATTGTGAAGGGTTGGGGTGGTTTGGTTTGCATGCAATGTTCACTGTACACATTTCAGTACGGTTGAACGACGCAATACGGTACATATTGCTATGACAAACATCCACATTTGCTCCCAAGTTTCATGTACAATTACATGTACACCGAGCGCTGGCAGCCAAAATAATAATAATAATGATAACGTTTATAACGCTCGTTTTCCAAAGGTTATAAAAGCGCACCAAAGACTTCTCTGATAGTCTGAAAAAAAAACCCACCAAGAATGAACATTAACTCTCCCTTTGCTTAAGAGGTCACCAATGGTCAAAATTTTCTTCCTCACCTCCTGATGGCCTACTGTGTACAAACCAATGGGGATCTTGACCAATATTGACCCAAGTAATAACCAGGCTGACAATGCATGTTACCATAGGAGGGTTAACATGAATTAAGCAAACAAGTAGGTCTTAAGTGAGGATTCAAACATGGATATTGAGGTGGAGCATCAGACTGATTGTGGGATGGAGTTCCAGATGCTTGGGCCGTAACATATGACTAGACTGAACAATCTTTAGTGGACCCCACTGTGTTCATTACAGTGACGTTCTACTGTACTAGTTTTGTCGTTTACTTACAACTTCCTCCAACATCTGAGTTGGCGATGACCGTCATCAACCATTGACCTGTCTAGCATTTCTTAAACCCTGAACACCTATCTTTGCAATGCAAAAACTCTCTTATGCAACCAGACTAGACTTGTCTTCAAGCAATTTGCAAGTCGGTAATTCTTGATTTTAGGTTTGCAGAAAATTCTCAGTATACAGTCTGTTGACTCTGTTCAATCAAAAATCCGAGTTTTCAGTTTAAGTTTGATTTGTTATTAAGTACTTTTTCTATTAACCACCTCGCGCCGGGATTATTTTTGCCCCAAAATTTAGATATTTGCAAAGGCAAAACTTGCCAGCCAACTTCTGATATACAGCCAAACGCCACAAATACTGATTCGCAAGAGTCATTCCAACAGTATTTGTACGATATTTCTTGCCGAAACTTGTAACGGGGTATGTTTCAATACTCGGGGGTGGGCATTGGAGCGGAATATTCAGTGTGCACTGAATAGGATACATTGGCGGGACTGTTGTGGCTACTCACAACAGTCTGTGAAGAACGCAAATGCCCACTGCTTGGAATGCATTTGTGGCACGGAGTGTACACATCCAATTCGATGAAATACGATGTGCACAAACTTGTGAGAGGAACGTTTCTGTGAATGGGCACAGAATGGCAATGGTACTCCAGCATCCTTTAATATCGGTGCTCTGTCCTTTTCAATCAGGTACTCGTGTGCTTGAAATTGGTGAACATCAAGTGGAAGCTACAGCTTGGCTGGGACCAAGTCACCAAGACCTCCTTAACTTGATACGACACAAGACCCAGCATGATCCAGCTTCATACTCAAGACTTGTGTTTTGCATCTTGTCAAAATCACTAGTTGGATAGTCATGTGATAACAAGTTGTGACTACCCAACAAGTCGCGAATACTTGCCTTGTCACTGGGTTTTTATTCCAGTTCTTATGGGATACGGAGCAATCACAGATGAAACTGGCATACATGTATATGGGGGGAAAACAAATGGAAAATAGGCCAAACAAAAAATATGTGTCTGAAATGTGGGCCGCGCTGCAGTTAACACATGTACATGTACATGTACATCTGTGTATGTACAATACACTTCATGGCCATTTACCGGACACCACCTCCTGTTTTGTTTTAGATCCAAAGTTCCAAACAAAATTTTACAATGAGAAAAATGTTCAGTGTTTTCATAAAATTGAAAAGCCTGAATTACTGTAGGGTGACAGACTCATCAACAAAGAAGTTCACTGCTTACTTGCAAAATGAGACTAAAGGGTTTGCATGGTGGGCATGAAATATGAATTGCAGGTGGATGGCAACACCATGTGAATGATATCCCTTTGTGAGTTGTGTGGTTCTGAGAAGAACCAGTTGGGTTAACGTTTCAAGCCATATGCTCTTTTCGTCATCAGCAGACTCGTGAGAAAGTCGAGGAAAAAGTCCGAAAGACAAGGGCACCATTCATGACACCATTCAGTCATGTCCATGATTCAACAAACTCCACTAACGTACATGAGAGAAAGCCGGCATTATCGTCTTTTTTCCTTGCAAGTGAAAGGTATCACTTTATGCTCTCTTCGCAATCCTCAAGATAATCATTGTGATTTTTAAAGCAGTGCATTTTGTACAACTAAATCAGAACCCCCCCCTAAAATGGCACAACATGTTGGTTGTAATCCATTGGATTGTCCATGTGGCTACCCATAGCTGGTCAGCCATAAACACAAGACCTAGCTAGCGGGTGGTCAGGTGGTACCGTTGCATTATGTTCATGCACGCACCACACACTGTATTACCGTGTGACGCAGTGATTTTTCCATGTCACAGGTTAATGTTTAACCTTCTATCAAGCCAAAAAAAGGCTCCGATCAGTGTTGGCCTAGGTGTTTCTACGGTAGAAACACTCCATTTACGACTGGTGAAAGACTTCAAAATTATTATTTAAATGAAATCACATACAGGGTGAGTCAAAAGAAAAGGAAACCCAAATGGCAGGACCAATTCTTTTAATGAAGTTCTGCATGTAGCAGTAGTACTATCAAAATCTAGGACATGAAAGCCCAATTAATGATCTTTCTTTTAGTACAAGAGTCATTCAAATCACTCATGTACTTTTCAACTAGTCCTGACAACTAGTCGGAACACCGTGACTAGTCACTTTAGGATGTACATTGATCTTCTGATAGACCTTACCCATGAATGTCCCAACCAACTAATGAACTAGTATATTTACACATATAGACTGGCAATGTGGTCACTAGTGCACGTCTATGCACCCCGAGGGACTGTGAGTGACCAGAAGAGGGTCCCATTTCCCAAGGCTGAAGTGCTACGTATCTTCAAGCAAACATGAATCCTCGATCGTGATTGGTCAATCCATGGAAACAGTGTGGTATTATCCCATATACCACAGTCCATTTTGCACTCGGTATATCGTCCCGTGTTCTATATGACACAGACGCACCATATTATTCCGTGTTCCACTTGCACTTTTGGGATAACTAATAATACCATGTAATAGAAGGACTTACAGGGTACCAAATTTCTTACCATGATTTATGAAATATAGTGTTGGAAACACTTCCTTTACTGTTCGTTGTTTGAATGCTAGTCTCACCTGTAGAACTGAACTCATTCCCCACTGCGACAACAGACCAAATGCTTACACTGCAAGTTCTGACAACCACTTGCAGTGTTGGCATAGGGTCCTTCAGAGATGTTATCGCAGTAGAAGAACTCCTCGTGGTCCAGGCTGGGGCAAGCCGCCGCCAACTGGTTCAGACCGGCCGAGGTCACGTTCGCGCAGCCGGAGAGGTCCAGATGCTTCAGGTGACGCTGGCCACCGTTGGTGGCTAGGTACCTGATGGAATAATGCAGAATGCAAAATTTGTTCAGATTTGGAGGGCCTTGAAAATTACCATGCCAGATGGATGTTTTTCGTCAGTGTGAATTATCAACCCTAACCCTCGTCGATCCTCCAAAATCAACCAGGCCGTTTTGGAGAATTTTGGAGGAAATTGAGGCTGTACGCCATTTTAGTTCAGCTGAGTTAGGAGGATGTATTGCACATTACGTGCATGCATGATTTCGTCAGTAGCACTCAGTATTTCCGAAAAATCAGTCAATTGACTGATAGTTGGAAATCTACTACACTCCTTGATTTCTTCTAAATGACAGCATGCCAGATGGAATAATTTCACAGGGTGTTTAGTATATTTAAGGCCAAAAAAAAAAAAATAAGTCGGTCTCTGGTCAGCGCGCGCGTCGATTTTAATCATGCGCGTCAGTCTTGTTTTTTCCCAAAATGTTCCGCGGTAGCTCAACAGCGCCCTCTATTGCCGCACCTCCTCATTTTTATTTTACCAAATAGCACCAAGGAATGGGAAATTGCACCAAGGCAAATGATCGAAAGCACCAAGGATAATTATGGAGGACACCAATGTACATGAGGCACCAAAAAAACAAAATAGTACCCCACCTTGTCTGTACAATCCAAGTTTGAAGAAAAAAAAAAAAGCCAAAAAAAAAAAAAAAAGCCGCGTCGCCGCGTCAATTCCGGAACATTGGTCTGACCAGAGACCAATTTTTTTTTTTTTTGGCCTAAAGGTTATATACAACATTTGCAAACATCAAAAAACAAAACTACCAAATTATTATGAAATATCTTACTTGACTGTACGTGAATAATATTCTCAAGCTTCTTGTGAAATCATGGCACCTGGTGTGCCTTCATTTTCATGAAAAGCAGAATTTGGTATCAATTTCCAACGATGGTTGGCTGACCATCATTGGGAAAAAAATTGACTTTTTTCAAATACTGCCTCCAATTAACCGAATTTAGTTAATCCACATTTTGTTTGCATTCTGTTACAAATCCATGAATGGGTGCAAGCCAACTTGTCTGGTTCCCTGACCTGACAATTCCCAACGTCTATTAATTGCTCCCTTTTGTTTGAAGCAGAGTCAGGGAACCAGACAACAAGAACAGCATTTTTTCCTTGTTTTTTTTTCAAAAACCCAAAACTTCTAACAGGCCAGTGTAACAACATTTGCTATAAAATACTTACCCCCTAAATCCATCCATTTCTAAAAATAACAGCACAAGCAAATGTGGTGCGATCAAGCTACATGAGTCGTTTGTCAACCCTGGTCAAATCTTGTTTTATTACAGACTTCAAAATAGCACAACCTCAGCATTACTGATATGAAAACGGGATGCGGATACCATCTTTAGTTAAAAAATTATGGAAGTCGGAACACCAAGTACAGTCGGCTCCCGTTATAACGAGGTCCGATGGACTTTCACAATACTGTCGTTATAGCCGGAACCTCGCTAAAACCGGAGCGCAGTTTTCCCCATTCGTTGTGCACAAGGTACGGTACATGGGCGTGCGTGTTTTAATCGTGTAACGCAAGTCCGAAGACATGAAAAGATGGTCATTTGTTGGTATGTACGTCTGTTATTAATGTATATTAAATATTTAACTGATGGTGTTAAATAAATGAAATAAATAAAATACCTTTAAGGGAACATTGTTCAATATTTGAGGACCTGAATCCGGAGGAAAAGGCATCATCGCTGATAAGAATCAGGCAAGTAGGTCACTCGCACAAATCGTGCCAAGTGACATTTTGCTTTCATTTTGCATTTGCTGGAATCGGGCAAGAGAGGGCGCCAATACATGCATTACTTCCGGGTTTTAATGACTCCTGATCCTTAGATGCCTTTTGGTTGTTGACTTTTTGGAACAGTTGGGTATTATTGTTTCTGAAGGGATTCTTTGAAATTGTAATTATTTCGGTTAACTATAGCGCACATTCGTGCCAAGTGACATTTTGCTTTCGTTTTGCATTTGCTGGAATCGGGCAAGAGAGGGCGCTAATATTACTTCCGGGTTTAAGTGTCTCCATGTGTAATTTCGCAGCAATTGGTGATTATTGTTTGTCGGGAGGGATTCTTTTAAGTTAATAATAATAAACAAAAGTAATAATTTCGGATTAAAATTTGTACAATGTATATGTGGTGGGGCGTTTGAAGATCTTGGAAACCTGTTTTTATTGGGATTGTTTTTTTCGGCAGGGCCGGAGGGGTTCTTAATTTGTTTAAAATTTTAATTTTTTTATTCTTCGGATTAACCTTTTTTGGGGGTGGGAACCACGGTATGTTTTAAACTTTATTTTTGAAGACAGACTGAATTATCTCTTTTGGGAAGTTGTGGTGGCTCTGAAAAGAGCCGTTTGTTTTGTGATGCTGTGTTCTAGCTTTACTACGTATTTTTTTTTTATAGCCACAAGCCAACAATTGGGAGCAATTACGCACCCGATGTTCGGGCGGTAGTACTAAAGGCTATTCCTTACAATGTTAACAGTTAACTCCTGAGCGCCCCCTATTGTTAGTTTGTAATAATATAGAAACGTGGTACCGCAGTCGTAAGCAAACTTCAAACCTGGTCACGCTATAAAGGGAAACCACAGCGGGGGATTAGCGACTAGACCAGCGGTCCACTGCGCCGATTATCACAGTCCCATTGAATTTATTTGAAAAGATCGGCGAGATGAAATAACGTTGGGTTGAAGTCTTTACAAAGGTACATTGATGGGTGAAGCTTAAGTGTGTTGCTTGAATTGGAAGACGGTAGCATGATACCCGTTTCGGGACAAAAGGTCTGTCGTTGACAAGCTGCAATGCCTGTAGTTTTGAAAAGATGTCGTTGTAAATGGGTTGAGAACAATGCTTTTCCTCGCATTGGGTCAGCCAAAATCGTCGTAATAGCCGAAGTCTCGTTATGTCCGTGCACGTAATAACCAAATATTTCCCCATAGTAATGTACACAAATTGATCGGGACTGGGAGAATGTGCTCGTTACATCCGGGTTATCGTTATGACCGAGCTTGTTATAACGGGAGTCGACTGTAATGTGATGAAGTGATGTGATGAAGTGATGTGATGAAGTGGCCCTATTTTGGCCTGTATCTCCAAATGAAAATTCCCGACGAACGACTCATTTAGCCTGATCGCATCACAAATGCTGTGTCTTATCTTTAACCCGAGTAAGCTTTTTGATAATAATTTTGGGATACATGTAAATGAAAGATTCTATATGCCTTTAGAAATGCACCGTTTGTCAGTTCCTTACCTTAGCCCTGCATCAGTGATTTTGTAACAACCAGCCAGACTAAGGAATTCCAGTCGACTGGATTGATTAACAGTTTGGTGATCAATGCTCTCACATGATCTGTCCGATATCAAGATGTCGCAGCAACTAGTCCTATGGGCATCATCAGACCCATTTACACTGCCACAACAACTTTCTGTCCTGTAGGATGTGTCGGGTGCCCGACTACTTCCTTGACAAACGCTATGCCTTTCATGCACACCGCCACGCTGTCGTCCTGTTCGGCACAATCCAGCTCCCGGTCTGGTACCTTGACCCGTGTGGTTTAAGTGCACCGCATAGGAGTCGGAGCTCACTGTCCTTATGGCGCACTGAGATTTGGGTTTGCCATTTTTGTCCTTTGAGAGCTCGTCGATCGAGATGACTCCACAGCTGTATCTGCCACAGCCCCCTCTGGAGCAAGACTGTCCTTCAATGGTTTCGCCATTTGGCTCTTCGTTTACCAGAGGGGCGGAGATAGCAAGAGAGAGCCGTTTGAGCGTTGCGTCAGTCATACTGGTGCATCCAGTAAGATTCAGATACTTGAGATGTTTCCCAGTGCCATTCTTACCGAACCTGTTTACAATTTAAAAAGTCATACATGAGTCAATAAATATCACACCTATTGACCGTAACTCCCTTTTTTTGGCTAGGAACCTTTGTAGTTGAGCTCTTTTCAAAGTCCAACAAATATATTGAAAATCGAGCTACATGTACATGGTACAGTAGGAATTAAACCTTAGAGGCTACATAGAGTGGTCTGATTATTTAGGATTTTGTTTGTGGACTGGACACACAGGTATGCTGAAAACTGTCCCAAGACTTTGCAAAAGGAGTCCAACGCTGACTTCAGCTCCTTAACTGTACACTTTAACCCTAACCCTCCAGGCTATTTTGGCTTGAAACCCCGCCAAACGCAGCGACATGCAACACTTGTCTACGTGACAAGCCCACCCAGTCCCAAAGTCTCAAGGCCAAACTGCCTCAGAGTCCGTGGTCACCAACTGCAGTAGGATACAACTGTGGCATACTTCAATGGGACTAGCTCTCATTGTCTCAGAAGCGGCCGTTTATGCACTGGTGCTGGTAGCTGAATGCATCAAAGTGCACCAGACTTTCCACCTGATGCGCTGTGTTGCATCTGGCAGGGTTAAGCTAAGTGATAATCAGGGTTTTAAGGTTTCTACCCCCGACCCCTTAAATGACACCAACTAATTACACTGACATTTTGGTTGGGATTCTTACCCTTTGAATGCAATATCGGAGACCTTTGTGAGTGACAAGTCCAGGTGTTTCAGGTTGGGAGTGTTGGACAGCAATCTGTACACCTAGACAGGGAGAGGAAAAAAGAAGGTTTAATTCACAATTGTGGTTTAAGACAACACAAGTGCAATCTGTGCATGTAACCTGAGACTGTGATGATCTTGTTTGAATTGATGTGAAAATACCTTTTGTAAAGAATGTTGCATCCTGATGCCACTTTTTTCCGTCATATATTATCTCAATGAAGGTCACTCATTGCAAATTTAAAAAAAAAAAAACACGATTCTGGGACCGAAAAACATTTCTTGTGATGGACTTATGGGGATTTGTAAGGCTTTGTGATGGACTTGCGAGGACTTGTGAAGGATTTCTAGGGATTTGTGAGGACTTGCAATGGACTTGTGGGAACTTGTGAGGACTTGTGATGGACTTATGAAGATTTGTAAGGTTTTGTGATGGAATTGTGAGGACTTGTGACGACTTGTGAGGGAATTATGGGGATTTGTAAGGCCTAATGATGGCCTTGTGAGGACTTGTGATAGACTTGGGAATACTTGCGATGTAGTTGCGATGGACTTGTGGGAACTTGTTGTGATGGCGTTGTGAGGACTTGTGATACACTTTTTGGGACTTGTGAGACTTGTGATGGACTTGTGATAGACTTGTGGGGACCTGTGAGGACGTGTGGTGGCCTTGTGAAGACTTGTGATGGCCTTGTGAAGACTTGTGATAGACATGACTTGACCACACTGCCACGGATACCATGAACTCCTTACCACAGCATTATTGAGCCCTTTGCTCTGTGACAGCATCAGTGTCTCGACTCCGCGTCCGACCATCGGAATCAGGTACTTGGAGATCCCGTCCAGCATCTTGGCTTCACGACGGATGCGCAGCACCGACCGGCTGACTTCGTAACTGTCCCTCTCGTCGCTGTACCCCGAGGACTCAGATTCGTCAAAGTCGGCGTCTTCGTCCACGGTCACATAAGTCCCTTCGTCGTCATCCTGAACAATGTCTTCAACATCTTCGGAGTTGGTAGGAACAGAGCTCCAGTCACCTAATAGTGAAAGATACATGTTCACTCACATACAGTTAGTTTGCATCGATTAAATCTCTCAGGAAAAAAAAAAATCAAGAAAAGCTTTACAATGATGCCAACCCCTACCGTATTCTGTAAAGAACCCCTGCTAAAGGCAGCAACATGCACAACTTGTCAAAATGACAAGCCTGCTCAGTGTAGCAAGATCCATCAGCTCAAAATCTCAAGGCAAAACTGCCTTTTCAACATACCTTCTTTGCCCTTTTATAAATTTAGTGCACGGTGGAATCCAGTACAGCATTGCTGAACTGCACTGCAACAATGCAATGCATGAAATCGCGACGGGAACTTCCCAAAACAATGGTGGTTTCTTTTCGAAAATAGCGAATGTGTGTAGGCAAACAAATAAATACCGACAGCGGAAAAGTTGCAAGCGTTTTTGAGGTAAAGAAGTTGTTGAAAGGCTTTTGTTTTGTTTTGGTCAAGTTGCCAATAAAAACTTTAGGGTTAGAACGAAAAGAAAAAAGGGTAGGTCAGGTAACTGGAAGCAAAAATATATATTTTTTTTGCCTTAGTCATGTGGAAATCACTAGAGCGTAAAAACTGGACCACAACTTTTCAACTAGATTTTCACTGCCAAGGAGTGATCAAAATCAAAGGTGTTGTGTGTAAAGTTTGTTCTTTGAACTTTACTCTTGTATGTGAATGTGATGTAAACATCCAGGCTATATGTGCAAAAATAAGAATGTTATGCCTGCTTGTTGATCTGGTTCCAGTTATCAAAGTGAAAGCCATTTCACCACATGAACAAATGGGACTCCATACCTCAAATTGTGCATGGATACTTCTGAAACATTTTTCTTGAATTTTTGTAATGGTAACACTATGAATAAACTACACCGTTAGAACCATCCAAAACACTCTTTCAGCTGATATGTGGTTGACGTATATGGGCGGCCAAACATAGCAACATGCCAGCTTTCTGAACATCAGTGAATATATCTGTGTTGAGGGTGTTCTGTGTGTGGTTTCCTGGTCGACTAAAGTCGCCTATGGTAAGCAGCAGGGCCTTTTGAGGGGGTAGTTCCTTGTCTACAAAAGTCATCCACTGCAAGGAAAGGGTTAACAGGGTACCTGAAGAAAACCTGATGGGGGTTAGGGGTTGACTGCTAACCATATTTTACCTTGTGCCCATCTGACAGGGAGAATATTCTTCCACAGAGCCCCATCCATGGCAAGCTGACTCCACTGGGAATTGACCTGGGCACAGCGGCACAGCTCCTTGGGGTTCAAGTAGGAGAAGATTTGCAGCAGGACCTCCGAGGGCAAGCCTGCTATCTTGTCCTGTGACACGTCCTGAACCTCTTCGGCCTTGACTTCGTCCACTTTCTCTGCTCGGTTCAAATCAAAGAAATCAAACAGTGAAACAAAATCGGGTCACTTTCAATTGAATCAGGTTGAGCAAAGAAATTGATTGAAGTGGGATTAGAGCCTGCGACCTCCAGTACACTTGGTTTCAATCATCAAAGAAACACAACAGAGAAATGGACAAGGTTCACCTTCTGTTAAAATTACACTTAACCTTTTTAGCCACTGTAGCGCCCGAAACCACCCTGCCTATTACTTACTGTAGTACCTGAAACCGCCCGTGCACTCTATGTTTTAATGATTCTTCACCAGTGGGTAACACTATGTAATACAATGTAGCACAGTTGCTAATGAGTTAACAGAGAAAGTGACTGGAGTGAGATTAGAGTTAGATTGGAACCTGTGATCTCCAGTATGCTGTAACAGGGCTCTACCGACTAAACAAAGACACTGCTAACATGTAACTCAGTTGGCAAAACAATATTATGGTATTTCAGCGGTTACGGGTTCAAATCCTGCACATGCAAATCCTTTTGTTCATCCTCAGATTCAAGTAAATAAAAAAATATCGGATTACACAAACTTAAAGGCTACATTAATTTAGCTGTAGTTACATGTACCGTAATTTTCGGAATATAAGCCGCGGCTTATACGTTGATTTTGCCCATGAAAATGTTTACTGCGGCTTATACACAGGGCGGCTTATACGCCGAGCCTTGAAGAATACAAATGAAATTCACATGTGTATTTAATGTACTGGTATAAGAAGAGATATGTTGCTGAAATGAATTATAAATTAAGAAAGTCATTAACAAACCGAAACCACGTCTCACGTAAAGGTACCGAGCGGTAAAAAAGTACGGTGATGAAAGCTGTCTTCGACACTTGCCACCAGCCGTACGTGATACTGGTACAGTGCAGCAGCGATATGCAGGCATGCTTTCCCAACAGCGGACCACACCATTTGTGGTAACAAAGGGGTGTTCTTTCTTGGGAACAATAATTACCAATATTTTCGCTGTTTAAAAAAAAGAAAAAAGACCACTACAATTTTTATGGCGTTCGAAACATTTTTTTATTACATAATCAGTTGTTCAACGTCACAATATATTTTGTTTTCTTGAAATGTATTCAAGAAACGATGTAAAACTCAAAAGAGGGACTAAATCACCCCTTACAAAATTAATGGAATCGTCTATTAAAATGTCGGCTTCGTTTTGACTACTTCCAAAGAAAGTTACGATCGAAACTTGAATTTTTCTCGCAACTAATGGCAACAATTTGATAAGTTTTGAGGTAAAAACGGACCTGTTTATTCTTAGGACAAAACAAATCAGCATCTGTTGCCACAAAGCAAGATTTGTAGCGCTCCAGTCAGACAACACACGGTGGGTTTCATACTCTCTCACGTGCTGTGGGAAAATGTTGTCATTCACCGGCGTGCGTGGCGCAGGCTGCCGGGCTATGACGGGGCAGCCAGCAGCAGTTCCCGGTGTTTATTTCTCATCAATTCCCATATTTGTTTGTAAAAGTATCAATTGTAAATGATTTGATATAACTTTTGTGGTCCTTTTAATAGCTTCTGTAGTGTGAATGGAACTGGTTCAGAGCATTTTGACTAGAATTTGGAGGCCTTACAAAATTGAAACCGCAGCGGTCGGTGCGGCTTATACGCCGGTGCGGCTTATACGCCGACTTCAAATCTTAATTTGCAGATTTTTGCGTGCTGCGGCTTATACGCCGCGCGGCTTATATTCCGAAAATTACGGTATGTGTTTTTGAAAAAAATCTCTTCATAATATAAACAAAACAAAAAGGTTTTTGTTTGCTTTTAGTTGTTGGATGTGTGAAAAATATATTAAAATTTGGAGAATTCAGGACTGTTAGGGTTGACAAATTATGATTTTTATTTTCTTTTGTGACTAAATGAGAATTTACAGAGCATTTCTGTATTTATTCAAAGAAATCAAACAAATTCCAAACATGTCTAAAACATTTGTAACCTCCATGGAACGTTTGCACACAGTGAGTGATGGCACCCATTGGACAGCCAATATATCTGCTTACGATCAACTGTGCGGTTTTGTAATTCTGTGGAATTAAGGCAATTATATTTAAGCAAAAAACATCAACACAACCCAATCAAGAATTAGAAGTTATGTAACCAGCTTACCAAATGTCTCATCCAGATCCGATTCCTTGTCATTCTCGGAGCAATATTTGGTGTGGAGGGCGTGCTTCTGTAGCACATCATAGCGAATACGCTTCAGCTCCTCATAGGTGAAGTACTTCATCAGCAACGGCTGGAAACACTGAAAATTGAAGAAGAATTGAGCGTGCAAGTTTACCTCAGAAACTGGCGAGACTTTAAGAGAATATGGTACTTATAGGCACATCGTATAGGAGCTACGACGTGTATCATCTAGGGCTGTGCATCGGAACCGGGTACCCGGCACTTCTGATATCAGGAACCGATCCAGATTATAGAATCGAGTACCCTTAACCCTAACCCACCTCACTCCTCAAAAATCCTCCTGGCGGTTTTGGAGGATTCTAGAGGATTGAGGATGAATGGTGATTGAATCAAATGAGGATTCTGGAGGATTGAGGATGAATGGTGATTGAAGCACATGAGGATTTTGGAGGATTGAGGATGAATGGTGATTGAAGCACAAGAGGATTTTGGAGGATTGAGGATGAATGCATTTTGAGGCAGGACCGTCTGATGATTTTGAAGAATTTGGCATTGGTTATCCTTCATTTAAACACGAGTGCAAAATTTTGGGATGAGGAGGACTTTGGAGGATTGAGGATGAATGCATTTTGAGGCAGGACTGTCTGACAATTTTGAAAAATTTAGGCGGAATTGCAAAATTTTAGAGGATTTTGGAGGATTGAGGATGGTTGTAAGCAACAAGGGCCTAGGGGGTTAGGTATAATGAATTTTAAAATATATTACTTCGTAACTTCTCGGACACTGAAAAAGAAAGGTTTTGAATGTCATTTGTGCAGAATTTTCAAATGAAAACCAGGCTACATGGAAAGCAAAACAGATTCACGTGTGTTACACTTGCGAAAATGCAATTCACACCATAAAGCTACATGTATTGAGCTCAATGTACACACTTGTATCTTGCTGTATTGACCCATCGATGTGGCAGTATTGTCGTGAGGACCTTTATAAACAATCTATACAGCAATGCCAGAGACTTACATTTTAGAGTTGTGTTCTTTAACAGGTCGTGTTTTTTATCTAAAATTTAATTCATGGTTACTTCTCTTTATTATTGGTTGCTGTTGCTCTTAGCGCCATGATCTAGATGGATTGGCGCTATAGAAATCCTTTATTATTATTATTATTGTGTACTCTCCGTAAATGAACACCCTTAATAATGTCCAATATTTTACATTTTTTTTAATTTCCTGACTGGGCTTATCCAGGCAAGGGTAATAATTGGCACCGTGTAAGAAGAGAAAGCAGTATACAAATATAACATGGTTTGAGGGTGGACAGTCGATATTCGCTCCCTGAGGTATTGGAAGTTGACAAACTAGTTCCCGAGGCGAAGCCGAGGGAACTAGTTTGTCAACTTCCAATACCGAGGGAGCTAATATCGACTGTCCACCCGAAATAAACCATGTTATATTTGTTTTACTATACCTCATACATATTCAGTTGACGATTTTTTTTTTATATATGCACCTAAAACAAAATTCGGGGAAACTTGTACATCTCACCAAAAAGAATATTTTGGTTGCTCAACTTCAATTACTAGTTCGGTTCGTTTGCAATATAATACAGTTACTACAGTTGTAAATACAGTTGTTTGTGTACAACTTTCTTTTGTAAACTTTCTCCAGTACGGCATCATTGAGCTCTGGAAATTAACATTTACGCGAACCATGCAACCATGCATGGCGCTCCCTCCTGGGCGATGTTCGCGCGTGCCTACTGCACCCGTGCGACAGTTCCTCGATTGCTCTGTAAAGCGCATGCGTAGTAGACTGTCGCACGGGTAACCCATGCGACAGTCTACTACGCACGCGTATTTACCCTGTGCGTGAATCCCCCGCGCGCGCGTTTGTCAAACAGCAAGAATAACATCTGGCACGTGATGGTGAATTGACCAGTGAGAGTTCGGCTCTCGATCATGAGTATGTATGAGGTATAGTAATACAATTTACAACAAATTACAATATTACAAATTGATGACTATAATAACATTGAAAATGTAACCTCAACCTCCGTCTCCTCAGATTGGGTATTCAATCCTGCCTGATTCCAAGGGTTTAACCCAGAAAATATTTGTTCTAGGGCTATCCTCCCACCACTAAACTCAACATTACTTTTTTGTCTTCTCTCAACAGGTTTCTTCAGGCTTGCGACTACAGTGCCATGGGCATCTTGAAGAATCCTTGGTTTCATTACCCAAAATAAATAAAAATAAATTATATACCTCCTCCTCTTCCTGCATGTGAGGCAAGAAGTCCTTAGTGAAGACTTCCAGGGCGTCGCTGATATTCCTACCGATGGTCACCATCTCGCTGGGGGAGTGACAGTGCTCCGTTTTGTTGCATCCTTCCTCCAGCAAGCCTTGCATCTCACTCAGACGATTGTCAGAGTGGATCTTGTACACGGCTTGGTTTTCAATCTGTGTATAAAATTGCAAAGACTGTAACTGTAGAGTTTGTGATCAAGGTCTTTTGAACCTATGCTGTAGGCGAGTCCATCACAAGCCAGTCACAAGTACAGTCACAAGTATGCAAATCTCAAGTCCGTAAATCTCAAGTTCGTAAATCACAAGTCCGTTTAGTGGAATGATAGGCTTGGGCGATTCCAGGTCGGAATTGAATATAATCGATTCCAAAGATGGGATCAGAATCACGATTCCACTTTTTGAGGAATCGATTCCCAGTTGTAACAATTCAATTTTCCCCAAGAATCATTCCAGACACTTCAAACTTAAATATTATTTCACTCGACATGTACACACTTGTGGCAAACTATCATTTCTACAAGTTTCTCAAAACTGGATTTGATTCATCTGGTTGACAGCACCCTCTACTAGCCCAGTTGCTCGACCTTCCTTGCCAAGGATCAGGCCTGGCTCCATTAGTGCCTGTCTCCCTCTCTGCCTGCCAATGTCAACAAGGCCAGCCCAGCAGTCAAAATAAATCAGGTGACCAATTTTCAACAGCTGAGGGCTCCTTACCTTAATAAAGCAGGATTGACTGGCTGTGATTGTTATGGAACCCGACAAAGCTACGCTTTGACTGCAGGAGACTGGCAAGCCGACTGTGCCTACCAGTGACCTGCTTTTGTCTATTGATGGAATTTGATCGTCACAGTGCATTCAAAAAAATATAATCTGACTGTTGGTGACTAGCCTGTGTAAAAGGAATGGCAGGGGAACAGGATTGATTTTTTGACTGTCTGTGACTGATCAAACAAAAGGAGGGTTAGGGGAACAAAAAACAATTCCAGTCTCGGATCAAGACTAAAATATTTAGTACACAACTACACACCTTGAGATAATCAAGCCTGTGTCTGAGTTTCAGCATGATGCACTCATTCTCGATGCACTCATGAGTTTTGAATTCCCTGAACGTGGATCTCAGACTCCACAGCAATCCTCGCAGCTCGGCATAGTTGGAGAAATCCGTCGCAGTCAACTGTATCAAAGAAAAGAAAGCCAACTGCGTTTAAACAGTGCAAGCTCTGTAGGGCCTACATCACACAGTGGGGCAGATAGGGGAAATATTTGGGGGAATTGTCTCTTTGATGATACAAGCATGGCATTTGGAACACAGTCAGAGTATGTCTTAAGACCGCCATTTGGCTACAGGGCCTTGCAGATTTGTCCTTTAAAAGATATTGGTAGAACAAGCAATTTTCAAAAGTTTCAAAATGGCCGCCATTGCTTGTTATTCTACCTTTATTTTTTTCAAAGGACAAATCTGCGATGGCCCTATAACCAAATATCATTCTCATGACATACTCCGACTGTGTGCCAAATTCCATGCTTTGTATCATCAAAGGCACAATCCCATCACCTATCTGCCGTACTAATAAGGTCTTCATCTTTTTGCACCTAAATGTTGGTGTCCATTTTGATTATGATCTTTCACATTAATAATCCCCAATCAGACTGGGACCTTGAATGCAGAAACATGCAAGGCCAAGTAAAAAAACTTGTTTAGCGTCCCTGCCCGCTTCCTTTTTGGAGGCCGCCTCCTTTTTTTTTTAAACCGAAAAAATTATACATTTGAAACAGCGAAATCATTTTGTTCTCTTTGTCTGTTGCATTTAGCCCATATGAAGCTGGTATGTCATTTCCTGAGTCCAAGTGGCAGCCATTTAAAAAAAAAAAGCTGGTGGCCATCTTGAAAAATAGCCCGGTCAGGCGGCCATCTTGAAAAAATACTCCGGTCACGCGGCCACTTCGGAGGGGGAAAAAAAGGGCCTCCTTCCTTTTTTTTCAAAAAAGCAGACGCTAAACATGTTTTTTTTTATTAGGCCCAACACAAATTCAGGCCAACTTTACTCACTCTTTAGCTGACAAAATTCTCCAAAATTTTCATGAGGCAAAGACAAGGTCCTCAGTATTTCAACAGCCAAGTTTGAGGTCTCAATTCAATTTTTAAAGGAGACTTTTCTTCAACAATTTGCACCTGAGAGTGATGCAAAGTGATTACAATTTGAAGCCTATTAAAGACTAGACTGGTACATATCCAACTTTTGAAAGGATTGACCCTTCAGTAGTCTGGTTGCATGACTATGGAGAGAATGTATATGTATACTGTAGAAATAGAGACTAGGTACATGTGTACTAGATAGATAGTTCTTTAATTGATGCAGTACTGAAGGGGTGCTGGACTGGTTGTTTCATGTGCCAGTCTATTTTCTTGTGTTGCATGTTTTCACTATCTTAAGTTTTGGGAATACACATTATTGAGAGTCCCAAATTTTGGGACCACTGCCCAATATAAAATCAACTGGGACACTAGTAGGCCTACTACATGTAACAGTGGTGATAGTGGATTTTAGGATTCCAATCCTATGAGAAAATGAAAATCACGTATTCATTGGACTCACCAACCAAAACAGCTTGCAATGTTGAAAAGCAACAAGAATGTCTTGTAAAGAGGTCAGGGTTTTAAATTTACAGAGAAACTATGGGGTAAAATGACGACCATGACAAATGGCGGAAAACATATTGCAACCTGACGCTACTCCTAGAACTATGTATCAAGAAGCCCGCAAAATTGCCTGCAGCACAAAACACTAATAAAGTACAAAAACGTCCATCAAAATGGAGACATTTCACACAGAACCGCTGCGCAGTTTGCCCCTATACTCCGTACTTTATCTCTTGACATACTCACGTATCATGCGCAGAACTAACATAGGTGGATTCTGTCGGTTTTTAGGCCAAAATGATGAAAAATATGCCCTTTCCGCACTGAGCCAACCTGACACTTGAAACGTGCACGCATATGATCGAGCGATGATTTTCGGTTCGCTCGGAGCGCGCCGCGGGGGGTGCGGTACAGGCGAAATGATAGTATGTGCATGCGTACAAGTGCATGTACCGTACCCCCCGCGGCGCGCTCCGAGCGAACCGAAAATCATCGCTCGATCATATGCGTGCACGTTTCAAGTGTCAGGTTGGCTCAGTGCGGAAAGGGCATATTTTTCATCATTTTGGCCTAAAAACCGACAGAATCCACCTATGTTAGTTCTGCGCATGATACGTGAGTATGTCAAGAGATAAAGTACGGAGTATAGGGGCAAACTGCGCAGCGGTTCTGTGTGAAATGTCTCCATTTTGATGGACGTTTTTGTACTTTATTAGTGTTTTGTGCTGCAGGCAATTTTGCGGGCTTCTAGATCTATGTCCGCTCACGCGGAGCCTCATAGTTCTAGGAGTAACCTGACGCCACTTCAGCGGTTGTGTACAAAGTCTATGACTGTCTATGACTATGGAGAGTCATTACCTAACAAAATTGGAAATGTTTCTCAGTCCCAGATTCATGTCTTATCATCATTTTTGCAATGACTGACCTTCATTGAGATGATATATGAAGAAAAAAGTGGTGTCAGGTTGCAAAATCTTTTCCCAACATTCTTTCCCTCATTCCCACGTTAAGTTATAAAGCTACTTTTAATGTTCAAAAGCATATACCAAATTTGTTGATGCTTGTTGACGACCGTTGACGCTCGCTGACGCATTTAATCATGTTAATAATAATAGTAGGCCTACTTAATCTTAAGGGAAATGGGTCAACTCGTACCCGAGTTAACTCGTACCCGAGTCAACTCGTACCCCAAAATTGACACCCAAGTCAAGTCGTACCCGAGTTAAGTCGTACCCGAGTCAAGTCGTACCCCAGTCAACTCGTACCCGAGTCAAGTCGTACCCGAGTTGACTCGTACCCGAGTCAACTCGTACCTGCAGCTCAAAATAGTTGCCTATTTTCGAAAAGAAAATCAGTGAAACGAACGGAAGATCGGAGGGATATGGCCGGTTGTCCATGCACGGTGATATCGTTTGTGCCGGGCCTGTGCGCGCACTCGCTGGTCAACGTGGTCGTACCGTGCACAGTGACATCGTTTTTGCCGGGCCCGTGTGCGCACTCGCCGGTCCACGTGGTCGTCCGTGCACGGTGACATCGTTTTTGCCGGGCCTGTGCGCGCACTCATCGGCCAACGTGGTCGAACCGTGCACGGTGACATCGTTTTTGCCGGGGGGGTGCGCGCACTCATCGGCCAACGTGGTCGTACCGTGCACGGTGACATCGTTTTTGCCGGGCCTGTGCGCGCACTCATCGGCCAACGTGGTCGTACCGTGCACGGTGACATCGTTTTTGCCGGGCCTGTGCGCGCACTCATCGGCCAAAGTATGCATGCTTTTAGCAATTTATTTTATTTTTATATTACAGATGATCCTGTGGTTTTCCGATGAACCATTTTCTGCTACTCAAACCGATCGATCGGATGGTCTGTCACACAGTTCATGATGAATCGAATCGGATGTCAAGTTTCGAGGACGAAACCCGATTAGCTCAGTTTTGTTTAAGATAATAAAACTTTCTCTTGCACTAGAATTACAATTTGCTAATGTCAAACAATCTTTTACACCCAAGGATCAACTAACAAATTGGTCCCCTAAAACTTATAGAAAGAGCATCTCTGAATGAAACGAGCCACCATTTTCCTTTATCGTGTTTACTTCCTTGATGCCTCAAATGTAAACAAATAATTAAAAATCCTACATTTCTGTTACCAAAATAATATTCTAGTTGAACTTATCGCAGAAACTTTATTTAAGCTGCACAAGATTTTTTTTTACGACATTTACCAAACTAATTGTACAAAAAATGACCAACATATTAAAGAATCATTATAAATTAAATAACAATGTCCGTGTGACTCTTTTAAGTTTCCTGCAATATATTTTCTCTTCAGATGCCAAATGATGCCAAAAATGGAGTGAGTGAACGTTGAAAAATATTACTTTTACATTACAAAATTCATTTGTTAATAGCAGCTTTCTTTAAAAAAAAAAAAGGTCTTAAATACTAAATTCGTAAAAAGAAAACTATGCCCTTAAAACATGTTCGACCGAACAAAAAAAAGACGTAGCAGTTCGCACAGTCACTCCGCAATCTCAGTGATCCAGGGTCTCTGAAAAAAGAAAGAAAAAACATAATTTCTAAGAGAAAATACTACACAATCGTTCGCGATGAAGCCCTTGCTGATGAACGGTACATTTTCCCTTTTCATCCAGATTGTGATCAACATTTGATACCACCGCCTTCAACTAATCCTTAAACTTTATTTGTAATTCTGGCGGCGTAACTACTATTTCTCAGTCGCCGTTTTTGAGGGTAAAATCGGAAGTTTTGTTAACCATCCATCCGTACTTCAAAACTAAAAAAAGGAGGGGAGTACGAGTTGACCCGGGTACGAGTTGACCCGGGTACGAGTTGACTCGGGTACGAGTTAACCTGGGTACGAGTTGACTCGGGTACGAGTTAACCTGGGTACGAGTTAACTTGGGTACGAGTTGACTCGGGTACGAGTTGACTCGAGTACGAGTTGACTCGGGTACGAGTTAACTCGGGTACGAGTTGACCCAAAATCACTTTAAGTAGGACTCGTGCATGGTGTACACATTTTTACAAACATGACCAGATACCGACAAAAAAATGAAACAAGTTCACAAAACCACCCCGACTCATTTACCACGAATTCCGTGTCAATAGAACCCACCTTGTCCGAATATATACGGACCAACTCTTTCATACGACTATGTGGTCCAGAAAAAACGTCCACTTCCTGCGGAGCGGGTGCCATTTTTAATGATAACTAGAAATTAAAACACGGAAAAGTAACAACTTTTGCGCCATTCGTCCATCGATATCATGGCGAACTTGGTCAAGTCATCGCCGCATCACATAATGCTATGTCACTCCTGAATCCGGAGATCAGACCATCCTTAGTGAAGTTTATTGACCTTTTACTTTACGTCACCGCTACAGTAAATAATGAAACGCGCCCTCTTGCGATCTCGGTTACATTCATGCTGTGCGTCCATAGTAACCACACAATAAACATCCTCAAAACGATACATGCGACCCAGCTGATCTGTGTCTGTGTGAAATCTCCTGCGCATAATCTGGTACTTTTTAAAGCCATTTCTGAGACATAAAACTGTTGGCGTTTACTCCTCATTTCTGACATATACCCTGCTGAATAAATCGGGCAGCATGAGGGAACTTTTCGACGTGCAACGCCAGAACTTCTGGACCGAGTCCATCCACAAGGAAGCGTACACGCGCTTGGCCTGGCACGAGAAATACAGCAAGGAGTTCGCCAGGGAGTCACGCCAGGGTATCGCCCGCAAGCACCGGCCCAACATGGTCCCCAAAGTCGCTGCCGCCGTGAAGCCCCCCAAACCCGCCGAGAAGTCGCAGAGTTTGGCCGAGCTGGCGGCCAAGAAAGAGGCCAGAAAGAAAGACTTGGCGGCCATAGAGGACCCTGACGCCTTGCTGGTCGAAATGAGATCTGTAACACCGGTGGTCAAGGACCAGCTTTACAAGGGCTTCAGCAAGGAGGGCACTGGCCGGTATGCCTACCTGCAGATCAGGAAGTTGAAGAAACCTGAGAGCAAATATGATTTTCCCATCACCAGCTCGTGGGAGTACGGCTGGCGCTTGGACGATGTGGTCAAGGAATTCAGGGCACCAGCATTTGGCCGGTCCCGCATCGTCAAGGACTCCTTTTACCGTACCAATGGAATCTTCTAACACTGATGCCTTCCTATTCAAGATGTCACCAGACTTTGTCCACATCTTCACAGCAGCTCGGACAATCTAATGCAATGCCACATCACCCACCGAAGACTAAACGTTAAAAGCTGCTTACCTTTTTAGAAAAGTGCAGCCAATTTGTGATTTTTTACCATTTTGCATAATTATTCAGAACAATTATACATAATTTATATTTGTATAATCATGTGTCATGTAATACACTCCGAGTGTAATTTCTTTTTGCAGACTTAATCAAAATCAACGATATGAGCAAATGTTTTAAATGAAACCACCGCCTAAAATCAGTGGCTTCCATTTGATTGATGTCAAGATTGTGTGTTACATGAATATTGTTTATTTTCAAGATTAGGTAGTGTACAACCATAATCATGATTGCACAAGCTACAAAACACTTTGGGGTTCTTTCTGTATTTTGAATATGCAAAAGTAGGCACATGATGAAGTTTAGCACTTTTCGGAGTTTTCCTGTCAGAAAGGAGAAGATGAGGTCATTCATAATTATAACTTTTGCAAAAGTTCTTCATTTTATTACAAGCTTTGTATTAAACTGTAGGAGCAGTATTAGTTCACATAACCAAGCAATAGACAGACAAAGGTTACTGCAAAAGTAAATCTTACAAACTCGACAGTATTCATCCACATGTACTAAATTCTGTGGTTGTCTAGTTTTATTTCATAATCATTGTAGTTTTAATGTTAACTGGCCTACGCTGTGGACAAGTTCACCAATGTTATTAGTTTACATTCACTGCATGTATGGCAACACTGTAGTGCCCTATCTAAAATGCATACCTTGCCCACCAAAGGATCAAACAGGGAGATCAAAGTCTATTATGTACCAACAAATTATGGCTGCGTGTGATTGATGATCATCTTGATCATGATACGCACATATCAGTTGCTTCACATGGCAAAAAATTGTAGAATAATTGGGTTTTTTTGGGGGTGGGGAGGGTGGGTGGGTGGGGGGGTTTGAGTAAGGGTGATGCCAGCAGATAGAGTCAGATATGTAATAACTGGTCAAGTCTCAAGTTGGCATGGATGAAATTCTTTCTTCTTAAGTGGTGCAATTTTGTACTTATGTATTGAATTTAATGGAAGTGCCTTTTTATAGCAGTGCCATTATTAATGGTGTACATGTAGGCCCGATGTCAATGGGTGCTTTGCTCGACCTTCTTTTTATGCTTTATAAATTATTGGGAAAAATCCGAATGATACACAATGTATATGTTTTTCATTATCAACTGTTTGTATATACATGTGTTCAGTGAACTTGAACTAGAATTTGAAATTTAATTTTTTTTTTTTACAGTATACTGTAGTACATTTACTATAGGAGAAAATGCATAAACACTTAATTTGATTGCATTAGAAGTTCTGCCTTGTTAAAGTACATGTAGTGTCTTCTCTGAATAAGTGTTGTATGTGGAGGAACATTTTGGTTGAACCTCCAATTTATGCATTTTGAATAACAACTGTAATTTCTCCAAATGTTTTCCAATATAAGATGTTCATGTACTCAGATGGTGTTCTTTTAAAAACTTTTGAGTATGCTGTTTTGATCAATAAAATAATTGTGATATACGAGTGCATAATGTGTCCTCATGGGTTGAGAAGTAAGCACTGCTCTGCAGTTAATTTGTATGGACTTCAGTACATTGTACACGTATTTCAATGAAAACAGTATGTCTTGTTCCCCAGACGATTTGGATTTTATTCCCCATTTACAGCCGGTCCGTGACAAGCGAGATCGCTATCAATCAGATATGAATCAAATACATGTACATGTACAGTCTTGGCAATATTGGCAACGCTACCCAGAGAATTCCGAGCATACCCATATTATAGCTCTATGAGCATACCTCACGCGCGCTGTATTGCATCTGATTCATGATTCATCGTGGTGATAGAGACCACTGCCGCCGCAGCTTAACCTCATTTGTCACGGGAATTCCAGGCTATAGGGAAACAAAAATCCAATCTGGGACGAAGTCTATATCATAGCAGGTCCAGGGCGGATCCGGGGGGAGGGGGGGGGGGAACGGGCCATGCCCCCCCCCCCAAAAAAAAGAACCCAATTTTTTGATAAAGTGACATTGCAATACACCACCATCTTTTCCTGAAAAAAATTGGTCAAAGTGGGCAGAAATTGCTTCAGATCGCACCACAGAGCATATAGAATCCAAGAAATGTTCGGGGTCCTTAAGCGGACCGTGAACCCCACGCCGTAATTTTCTTGACCCACTTTTTTGGGGACCAAAATTGTTTTGCCCCCCCCCCCCAAAAAAAAATCGAGTACATGTACGTTGAAATGACGGGGGAGGAGAGGGGGGGGGGGGTTCTTGGAAATGTTTTTCAGAATCTGAAGGGCGGAGGGAACAACTTAAAGAGGTACTCTTGAAAACGCGCAAAAAATACATCGTAGAAAGCCAGTGCAGGCGAGGTTTACAGGCGTTCATTAAAAAAATTTTAATCCCCAAAATAGAACAAAAAATATTTAAACAAATTAAATATTATTTTGGGGGGTTAGAATAAAACATACAAATTGAAAATCATCAAGAGAAAACAAAAACCAAACTATTGAACAGCACGGTTTATGCGACTTGGGGGGGGGGGGCACTGCTCCACAACTGTTTTGCTTGGTCACAAAAGGAAAGTGGAGGAGATGCCACTTGCGGGAAAAATAATTCCATCAGAAGAATTGGTCAGTTTCACTCAAAGCCCACTAGAGGGCGGTTTGCACTGGACTAATCCACTGGCAAAACACACACAATATTAGTTGGTACAGCGTGATTTCCGAGATGGGAAAATCGCGGTGATTCAAACTTATTATATTTTTTAAAAGAACCAAGTCCAACAAATAGGCCTACTTTTACTCTCAGTGGATTGACAATTATGAAAAACTTGCCCGACGAACCCAAGATGACCTGCACCTGGACGGATACATCTGACACCAGGGGGCGCTGTTGGGGAGCACCGATAATCTCTCGTTATCTTTCACTGGACGACTTCCAATAACTTTTTCTGCAACCAATTATGGTCAACGACCATAATGTGCATGCGTCAGTTGGTTACGGAATGGTTCTCGGAATAAACTTGCTCTTTAAAAATAAAAATCTCCAAAGCCATGAATGGGAATAAAAGGGTGAAATTTATTTTATCGACCACCAGGACTTACCGGTAATTAAACATAATTTAGAGAAGATACCTCGCTTTTGGGGAATTATTATGCAAAACAAGACTGCATTTTGACATCCAGATTGTAACCAGCGCGCGGGCACCTTATATCGTAAACCGTTGTTGTTTTACAAAACATAGCAGCCAAATTGACCAATCAAGAGCTTAGTCCACATTTCTGATCGAAAATGACTTTGCATAAAACTCCGATTGGCTGGCGCGTGGGGTCGCATAAAATGTGTATGCTATACAGAGGTTAGTTTATGTGGCTCTGCACACGCAATCAAGTGAAAGATCCTCAGACTACCTCTTTTGTGGCCAGTCTCGGGTTAAACCAAACATGTATTAAGTTAAAACCCCTCCTACTGTTTGATTAGCCGCAGACAGTCAGAAATTCAATCCACTTCTCCGCCAAGGGCGGTTCCAGAACATAATTTTGAGGGGGGGGGGGGAACAAAAAATGTTGGTCCCCAAAAAGTGGGTCCAAAAATACGGCGTGGGAATCGGGGCCCGCTTCATAATTCACGACCTAGTGCCCATTTTAAGGGCCCCGAAATTGTTTGTATGCTCAGTGTTGCGATTTGAGGCAATTTCTGACCACTTTAACCAATTTTTTTTGCGCAGAAGGTGGTGGTGTACGCAGTGCCAGCCTTTATTGATAAAAATGGGTTCTTTTTTTGCGGGGGGGGGGGGGGAGGGGGCTGGCCCTTGTTGGCCCCCCAGATCCGCCCTAGTTCCCCGCCCATAACTTATGCACAGGCTAGTTATCAACAGTCAGATCATAATTCTTGTATATAAGCAAGTCTGTTACTAGTCAAATTCAACCAACAAACAACAGCAAGTTTATAATGGTTGATACAGCTGGCATCCTCAGATATCATCCTCATACAGTCAAAACATAGCTGTACCAAGTCACAGCCAGTCAATCCTGCTTTTTCAAACTGGGGGGGGGGGATCACAAAAAAGGGGCACTTCCTCAGTAAAAGGCACATTTTTTTTTGGGGGGGGCACAAGTTTCGACACGTTTTTCTCATCCGGACATCCGGATAGTGGGGGGGGGGGGGGGGGCTTGGTTTTCCATATTCCTCGTTCATATCAGAACTCCGTAAACCATTTTGGGAAATGGTTACTGAAAACAAATTATCTGAAATTTAAGGGCCAGTTTTGTTTCATCGCGAGGGGGCACATTTATGCTCGACGGGGCCTCATTTATTATGTCTGCAAGACTGCACGTGGGTAAATATGGGGGTAAGTACCCTCCCACCCGGTTCCGCCGCCCCTCAAGTCACTGTTTTTGACTGCTTGGATGGTTTTGTTTTTATCGTTAACTTCTAGCGTGCAATTAACCAACATCGTCTCATTCTACGGAGGACGTCCCCGCACTCTTTGCGAAACCGCCTGTTGGCCAAGCCGTATATGAAGGGATTCACCACATTGTTCAGGTAGAAGAGTTCCATGGACACATCTGCGCCGTCCAGGTACGTCACATCGAAGAATCTCAGCAAGGTTACAACCCAGTAAGGCAGCCAGGACAGTAGGAACACCAGGCTGGTGACGAAGAGCATGGTGGTCGTGCGCCGCTGCAGTACCGAAGAATTAGATTGTCTCCGTTTGAAGCATGGCCTCCGGAATGGGTTTGGCAGTGACACCGCCGTGCCACTCCTAACGGTAGATACCGAAACGCTGGGGTGGTTAACCGACCCAGTCGGCTGAATTTCGACACCCTGGCCTTCCCGCGAATGTGTAGGTTTGCTATTACGGTTGCCGGCACTCGCACTAGTTTCGTGTTTGGCAACTGTTTCGCGACCATTGTTTTGAAGAGGCTGTTTTGAAACGAACGCTTGATTTTTCATGTCAAGGGTTGACACGGTTTCAACAGTCAGAAACTGCTGTTGTGTAGATTCACCGTTAACTGACATGGAAACCGATCCAATGCGAACGTGCCTCCGTATGGTCAAGAACACTTTGCTGTAACACACCGATACCATGAAGAGTGCAACGACAAATGTGGTGACTCGCAATGAGTAGAACACCGTAGACAGTACCTCCAAAGATTGGTCGCCACTCGCGATGTCAATAATGTAGAGTGGGGTGTGTCCAATTGATGCGAGGGCGAAGACGCAAGCTAGAGCTCTCTTAGTCCGTTTCGTTGTCATGAGGCGGCATTTTGGGCGGCAGACACAGTCATAGCGATCAAACGCGATCAGTGCCGTGATCAAAACGGACATACCGATCCAGACCCGGTTCAGAAAATTGAACGTGTCCATCCAAAAATCCGGCACTGTCACACGGGCCAGACACAGGGAGTGAGACCCCACACCGTACAGGCGAAGCAAGCAGACCACCAAGTCGACCAGAGCCAACCCTGGACTAGAATGTCCGTGGTGGACTTGTGGATCTTGCCCCTGTACACACCCAGAATGAGCGAGTTACCCGGCACGCCCAGGCAGAAGA